TTAAACTATGTTTCTTTTTTCTTCTCAACACTTCAAGCTGTTCTTCATCCAATTTTGTCTCTTTTGCTAGAGAAAATTTTCCATCACGGCCCGCAGCTCTTGTTCACTCTAACTACTATAAAAGCCTATTCTTTGCCTTTTTCTTCTTCCCGCACACGCTCTATTTGCTCGTTGTTTCTTTTAAGAGAATTGTAACTTTTGCGTTAAATATGTTAGGTTATATTGTAACTATTCAGTTATAACCATCTATTTCAAGTTCGCTCTCGAACAGATTTGCTCAATTAAATTTCATTTTTTTTGGGTTCTCAATTCTGACAGCTGGCTGTTTCTATTTCGAATCTCTATCTTTCTCTTTACATTTCTTTTTTTTTTCTCTAATTCACATGAATATTCTTATTCATTATTATTTTTTTGAATTTTGAGGCGCAAAAATTTTACTCTGAAAAACTAAAAACAAATTGAATAGCGTTTAAGCACAAATGGCTTTATGGCTATTTTTCAATTAATTCTATCAATCTTGTTGAATAGTAGGACGTTTTATTAGGTTTTTGGAAGGAATATCTGTCAGAGAGTGACCTACTTTCTCTTAGAGTAATGAGTAACCCCAGTGAGGTATTGGAGATCAACAACAACAGCTGTCCATTAACTCCAATGATAATCTGATTTGTTTCAAGTCAAATGAGCACATAGTTCTTTTCCAAAAATCATTTTTATGTTTGTCAATATTGATTCCTTTATATTCTCTATTCATTTATATATATATATATATATATAAAAACTCTTTTCTCTAACATACTTTTCAATATATAAATGCTTATTGCTTAAGCTTAAACTTCCATAGCATAGTCTTTGACGTTTTACTGAAAATATTGTGCGACCCCAATGATTTATGATCGCAAAAAAACAGAATTCTTAGAGGGTTAAAAATTCATAATTAAACAGCTCTCTCTCTCAATGTAATTTCTCTCTCTCTACATCTCTCTCTCTCTCTCTCTCTCTCTCTCTATTTGTGTCTGTGTGTCAAAGGCATTGAATATTGTAGCTTTTGACATTATAAAATAATTCTTTGAATATTATGTTTTTTTTTGTCTCGTGTAATTTACTTATTCAAACATAAAAATCCCCGCTATCCATTTATCTGCTTCATCTTTGTTTATCTACTCTCTAGCGACAATGGCAATGTCTTTGTCTAAACGACATTGCGTAAAATAAAATTTGAGTACCTGAGAGAGGGACATAATATAGGATATCTGATACTATACGTTTCTCACAATATATCATAAATAGTCCAATAATGCATTTCGATATTCTCATGAAGATTACACAATTTGCTTTTTAAATTTTTCTCATTTTAATTTCTTCTTTTTTTTTTTTGTTCTTCTTCTATTTTTTTTTGTTATTTTGTTTTTATAACAAAATAATAAAGAGAGAAGTAGAAGAAAAAACATTTTAACTATTTATATTGTAGTTTATGAATTTAAATATTATAATTTTTTATTTTATTATTATATTTTTATTATTTCAGCATACAAATTATAAAAAATGCGATCGTTTAAATCATGTATCGCGATATCCAGTCCATCCGTCCAGCTCATCTCCTCAAGACACTAAGTTTTCCAAGTCATATTTCAATAAGGACAGAAAGGTATTTTATCTTTTCATCTTATAAATTTTGTTACAAAAATGCCGATGAAAAGGCAGCCGACTGGAGTAGAAAAAGAAACTTTCGTTCCGTTTGTTTTAATTTTCAAGATTTGCAACTAAAAAAAAAAAAAGAATTGAAAGAGAAAGAAAGAGAGTTTAAACGATGAATTAAGATTGAAAATTGAAAAGAATTCTTAACTATACTTTTGAATGAAATTCTCACATTATAATCCTATATATTCCTTCAATATATATCATTTGCTATGCAATATAGAAAGATATTAAAAATTTTTTCCTTCCAAATGAATATTGATGAAGTGAATATTCATCTTTAAATGAACTTTGCTTTAAGTATCATTATAGAATTGCTCAAAAAATTTCATCATTTTCGCTCATGTAAATCGTTTTTTCATTTTTCTTTTTTTTTTGCTCTCACACTGCATCGCAAATCCTCTTCATTCTTACTTTTCATTTCATTTTTCTTCCTCCTTCTGCTTCTTTCTATCAAAAAATAGAAAAATAACTTCGTTTCTTATTCTGTAAAATTTGATTTTAAAAATTCTTCTTCTTCTTTTTTTTTTCTGTCTTATAGTTTCGTCCATGAGAAGTTTGATGGAACCAAGATATTCATTTTCCACCAAACAACTTTTAATTTAAAAGACAAGGCTCATCTTGTTAATCCCTTTTTTAGAACGAAATTGAAAATTGAATTCTATTTTTTCAATGGAGGGTATTTCATGAAATAAAATTTCCTTTTAACTCAATTAACCTAATATCCGTTTTTCGTCAGCAATGTCTCACTCTCTCTCTCTCTCTCTCTGTTTCTCTCTCTCTTACTGTTTAACGCAGTAATTTCCTTCTTTCAAAAGTTGTTATTACAAGAGATTAACTTCCTTTTACTTTCGTCTTTTTTTAAATTTCCTCCATTGAATAGTTCAGCAATCCAACGATCATTTCCGTTGTTTATCTTTCATTCATAAGCTTCATCTTCATAATCTTCAGAAAGTGAAAGATATTTCAGTCAGTCATTTCATTTAAAATATCAGAGTTGTATGAATAAAATCCAATTTGACATTTTGATAATCGTCTAGTAGCTTCGCATATCGTTAGTATTCTCAACTATACGATTGAGCATTGTGTCTCATCTATTTCTTTCTACCAGAAATTGTTGTCTATCATCCACAAACACTACTGAATATCCTCCTATTTTAACGAAGATATTGTATTCTATGCTAGTTATCAACGCTCTCGTCTCTCTTGAAGGAAGTTCCAGATGTATTGAGCGTCGCATTTAAGAAGCAAAGTTAAGCAATTTCTCAAAATAGCCCTATTGTGATTGTCTAACGACACTAAAGAATTTCCATTCTTGACACTTAAAAAAATTGATCAAAAAAAAAAGAACTTCAGAAGCTGATGTCACCAAACTAATCTTTTGGCAATTTTTTTCAAAAAAAAAAATTTTTTTTTCCTCAATTATAGTACCTTTAGGTGAAGAAGTTCTCCCCTTTTATAAAAACTTACTTTGACTTGTTTTCACATCCGATAATATATAATATCAGATGAAATGTATTTTCTTTTGTTTTCAAATTTTTCCAGACCGCATATTTTTCAATCTAATTCAATTTTTTTTTCTTTCTCTGCGACAATGTTTTCGCTCCACAAAATTTGCATATGACATATATATTTCAAAAATAATATTAAAAAAGAAGACAAAAAAAAAAGCATAAGACCTTACTCTTCAGTAAAATGAGATATATATATATATATATATATATATATGACTTTTGAAATTTGATTAAACTTAATGAATTTATTAGAGAGTTGAGGTCATGAGATTTTCATTAAACTCTGAATATATATAGAATATGAGAACTTATTATGATATGAGTACGATGAAATAGGAGAAAAACGTTAAAATTTGATTCGTTGAAACGTTTTGCAGTACTATATGTCAAAGATGAGACTGAAGCTATACTCTAAGAGAGATTGAAAAATTAAGAGAGAGAGAGAGAAGATGTGAGCATCGTTTTCAACCTGTCTTTGACATATCAAGACAATGACATATATTCCTTGAAGACTTTTACAACTTTCAACAAGCTGTTCTCCTCCTTTGTAACTCGTTTACAAATGTTAAACTCGTGGCTGTGGCAGGAAGAAAAAAAATTCTTTTTTTGCCATATTTTGTTGATTCGTTTTCATAAAAAAAAAAGTTGAACAGAAAAAAATTTGTAAGTCATCTTGACTTGAACGAAACTTGAAGATTGAAAAGTTTGATAACAGTATGTTCTAAGAATGTATGAAAAGAGAAAAGAAAATCTTTCTTGTTTTTCTTTTTTAATTTATTTACGTTAAGTTCAATTACTTTTCCGTTCTTTTCTTTTTTTTTCTTCCTTCAAAGACAGAAAGTTCTAAGAAAACATTTTGTTGAAAATCGTAAATTAGAATGAAAAAAAAATCCATTTTCTACTTTAATTCTCAAATTAGGAAGTTTCCATCCTTTTTGCATTTTGTATTTTTAGATGAAAGCAGGTTTGAACAAATAATTAAATTTCCATTAAGTGCTACTACTTATGTTCAAAAGTTTACTTCAAACAGAAATGTTCCAAAAATCAAACTTAAGACAAAGAGAGAGATGGGTGAGAATGAAAAAAGAACAACTGCTTGCTTACACCAACAGATAGTCAGATATTTGTGCTTTGTGGTGCTGCTCAACATGTTCTCATTTAAAACGTTTGATGTCAAAGAAATCTTGATCTTAACTGCCATTTTCTTCACCCACTGTTTCCTTGTCTCTTATTCATTGGAAACAAAAAATTTATGATGTTCAATTCCCTAAGTATTCCACATAGCATGCGCTTTGTTTTACAACTTCATCCATATCTGAGTTTTTGACGATAATCGAAAAATCTTTAAAAATAGTTGTTCTACAACTATGTAATATCTAATTCTAAAAAAGGTGGAGCTTGGTCGGGCAGAAGCGCAGGCTAAACCGCCAGCCCCCTTTTGGGGTTTAGGCATCTATAAACCCCTCCCAACTTGAACCAGTCGGCTGCTCCCTCATTTTTCGATATTCTGAAACTTTAGATCAAAACTTCAGAACTTTCCAAAGAAACTCTTAGCGTTCCTTTTAATCTTATAAGAGGTTCATTTGAACGTTACAAATCAAAATATTAACGGAAAAAAAACATTTTTTTCAACCAAAATTCGGAAGAAAAAGTGAAAAATCACAAACAATCCACAACTATTAATCATTCTTGCGAGTATATTGTGATTGCTCGTTTCGTCAGATTCGATATCTATCAACAGGTGTCAATATCGCTCTGCTATACTCTTAATTTCAGCTTTTATCATCCGGGATGCTATTGTATTATTTGGCTGCTATCTTTAAAGGCTTGCATCCTCGAGTTGATGATGACTTCGTGGATAAACTCAACTATCACTACACATCAGCAATCATATTTGCTTTTGCCATTATAGTATCTGCAAAACAGTACGTAGGTAAGTATAAGTTTCAAATTTTTGCTTAAAAATCTAAAAAATCTCAAAAAATGATAACAGGAAAACTAAAGATCAGAGCGTTCGGAACATTTTGAAAGACTTGACATACCAAGTAGAAACATTCTGAGACTTCTCAGAAAAATTTTGATTTTTCAAATTTTTCCAAAAAGTAAAGTTGGGTTGTAAGTTGTCCATAGTGGGCTTGAAAGCCTATATTAGTTTCATTTCTCATAAGTTGGTGGTTGACTTCCAAAAATTTAGGTTAAGATTGAGTCAATTAAATCTTATAAGATGAAGAAAAATATTTCTATACTGTTCATCAAACGTTCAGAGATCAAGAGAAAATTGAATAATAATTCTTATTTTTTCGAATGAAAAGACATCTTGACAACTTTTGTTTCTATCAAGTAGATACGAAATGAAAAGTAATGTCAATAACCGAACCGGGAGTGATATGTTCTCCAATATATGATGTCACTTTCGAACATTCTTAGACGCTTTTGACTTGAGAAAAATATTCAGTAAAGGCTGTAAATAAGAAAATTAGATATTTCTTATAGAACAACACTAATTGTTCTAAAGGATGTTTGTCTCAAGATAATAATTGAGAATGTAACCTCCACATTCTCGTAAATAGAAGTATTTGTTTATCTTTATTCATTTAAAGAACATAATTGGGTTGTTGATCAGATCCATTTGGATAAAAAAAATGAAATAAAATTTGGTTAACAAGCGAGTTGAAGGAAGAAGTTGAAGAAAAATTCTTAATTATCTACTAATCCCATTTAATTATTCACTCCAATGTGGAGAGCATCACAATTTTGTCTTCTAAATGGATTAAGGAGAAGAAAACTTTTCTTTATTTCAGGATATCCCATTCAATGTTGGGTTCCGGCTCAATTCACAGACGCTTGGGAACAGTATACCGAAAACTATTGTTGGGTAGAAAATACATATTATCTACCGTTAACTAGCGCCTTTCCATCTGAATTTGGAGAACGAAGGTTTCTAGTTGTTTGACATTATAGATGAATATATAATCTATTCAAGAGCTCGGCAAATCAGTTATTATCAATGGGTGCCATTTGTACTTGCTCTAGACGCGTTATGTTTTTACATTCCCTGCATTATGTGGCGGGGTTTGTTACATTGGCATTCAGGTTTGTGTTCATACATTTCAAATCATCTCATGCGATTTCCTCTTTATTCGAGAGAGATTCTTCTCTTCAACAATTTTTGAGAAAAAAATATTCGAAAAGTTTTGTTCTATTTCCGTTCAGTTTATATAGTCTTCGAATTCCACACTTCCTCACTTGACAACTTTTGAATGGATGAAAAATTGCAAACGATAGATATTCAGGCATCAATGTGCAATCTCTTACTCAAATGGCATGTGATGCTAGAATGATGGATGCAGATGCAAGAGCAGCAACGGTCCAAACAATCGCTGGACATATGGAAGACGCTTTAGAAATTCAACGCGAGGTTCATTTTCGCTTCAAGGAAAGAAAAAAACGATTTTTCACTAATTCATCATTTTGAAATCGAAAAAAAAAATTTTGAAAAAAAAATATAAAAATCTCAGGACAAATCAGGGTTTCCATCTCTTTAGGTCACTGATGTGTCGGGACTTTGTGTGTCTAAGCGATGGGGTAACTATGTAACGTGCCTATACGTGTTTATCAAAATGCTATACCTAGGCAATGTGGTTCTTCAGGTTATTCAAGAGACAGACTGTTGTCTAAACACAATTTACAAATTTCTAGGTCTTTATATTGAATAGTTTTTTGGGTACAGATAATTTGTTCTATGGTTTTCATATACTAAAAGACTTATTAAATGGACGTGAATGGGAAGTTAGCGGAAACTTTCCACGAGTTACCATGTGCGATTTTGAGGTTGAAAAATAGAAGACGTCTGTCAATAAGCTTCATGTGTTTAAGGTTCGAGTCCTCGGAAACGTGCATCATCACACAGTTCAATGCGTACTAATGATTAATATGTTCAATGAAAAAATATTCTTATTCTTATGGTAAAGCTACATCATCTTTCAGCTTCAATAGAGTTAACTATTCAGGTTCTGGTATTTCATGGTATCAATGGTTACCGTAGCATCAATGTTTCACTGGCTCCTCATCTCATTTTTGCCTGGTCAACACATGAAATTTATTCGAAAATATCTTCGTGCCACCGATCTGGCTACCGACAGACAATCAGTCAAAAAATTTGTACACAAATTTCTTGGCTTTGACGGGGTATGAAAATATTTATTTATAACTAATAGCTGATTGAAAGAAGAAATTGAAAATCATTTGAACTTTCAATGTTCAAAATTTATATAATCGTTAAGGTATTCTGTATGCGCATGATCTCAGCACACGCCGGAGACATCATGGCAACTGAGCTCATCGTTGCTCTGTGGCATAATTTTAATGATAGAGTAAGAAAGGTGCGTTCACCACCGCTATTTACCCCCTGGCCAAACACATACACAACTTGTTTGGGAACATGTTGACATATAATTGTCTAACCAACTTTTTTTATTTTATTTTAATGATTTGCCTCGAAAACTAATAGTAGTTAGTTAACATTTTTTAATTTTTTTTCAATTCCAAATTTCCGTCGAAAAACGAATGAGATTTTATGAAAATGTAACCTCGATAATTGAACTAAAACAATGCAAAAAGATTTATTGAGTCGAATGACTTGATGATTGTTTTTCTTTGTTTTCACTATTGATGATGATCACTGATCTTTCTGTTTCTAGTCAATGCAAGAGATAGGATTGGAGAACTAGACAATTCTTTAAAATGCATGTGTGTAACTAGTCTCAATAAGTAGCAGTCGATAAGAAACGGTTGCTTGTTCTTCTTGTTCTTCACTCGCCAGCTAAGTTGCCATTTGGATCAACTGATCTGTCGAACTAAATGGTGCGCTTCACATTAGATTTTCTCCTGTATTTGGTTCACATGATATGTTTGTTTTGGTTGATAAGCACTCAGTTAACTTTTCCTGCCCCTTCCCTATCCTTCTTCTAACGCTTTATGTGTTTGTGCTACTCACTGTTTTCAGTTCCGATTTTATGTTGTTAAACACAAATATCATCTCATTGTCATTTACAGAGTCCTATTGAAATGTTTGAGGGCGGTGTTAGCCAATCGCCAAACAAGCTTGATGCCAACTTCAAAACATGGCTTCTCGGTCAGACAAGGTAAAACATTCCCTGTTTCCAAAATGACTCGCTATGGGATGTATTTTTAAAACGCAACCTACCAACATGCTAGTGTTGTTTATTGTGAACTTCTATATCTTTTTCTATCCCTTAAGATGAACACATACAAGCACAAACATTGTCTGTGGGGTGTAGTTCTTGCACCATTTGTCATTTTGTCATTCCACCGCACAATGATAAAAACAAAAGCTAAATTATCTCCAATTACATGCAAAAAATCTGACTCGAACGGGAATGATTTGAACCACCCTTATATCGCCCATACATAGCCCAGACCAACCAGTTGTAAACAGCGGTATCAACATCTTTATATCATATGAAATGAATATGTTCGATAGTAACTGTAATACATAATCATAATTATGATATCAAGTTGTTTCACACAAATGCTTTTCACATCACCTTTTCTTCATTAATATGTTTCAGGTCGAAGCCTCCTTTTGATGGTTCCAATTTGACACGAGCCAAACGACAACGACGAAAATCTGACGGATATTTCACATTTGTCTAGTTCAAAGTATTTCAGTATATATATATATATACTGTTTATCCTTTTTTTTCACTCTTTTCTTCATTCACAAATTATATAATCATGCTAATCTCAATGCTGGCTATCTGTTATCCTTTTTTAGCTTGAAAAAGAGTCAATCTTCTTGAATATTTGTATTCATATGCAGTCCATACTATTGTTTCGAAACATACAACTAATGTTTTCTTATATCTTCATCTATCTATTGGTATTGTTCAAAATTCTCGGTTATAATTTAACATTTATATTTATTAGCTTACTATGTTAAGAATAATTGTGCTTATGCTGTATATTTCTCTTCATCAGTGTCAATCTACAGTCTTTTTCACATTCATTCTTCTTCTTCATCTTCCATATTCTCTTTCGATCTATTCTCTTCATCCTTGTCTGCATGTGTTATAGCATGCTTTACCAATTTACATTATTTTGCATCATTTTCTTTCTTTTCATATTTTACAAAGAAAAACGAATATACTTATAACATCTTCATCTAACAAACCGCCTAATCGCTTGTGCCATATGTCAACGCATCTAACTACTTCTTCTAATAACATTTGTATTCAATACATTATATCCTTCTTTGACATAACGAAATATCAGAATTTTAATATTATTCTTTATATATATATATATGTATAGATAGAACCAACAAATTATTCGAAAAACATTTATTGTTGGTTATCTCTTACTAAAATCATTTTCGATGAATCCTTTCCTCTCTAACCCCCTATCTTCCCTACTCCCAACTACTTACTTCGCTTTTTTCCTTTTTTTTTAAATAAAATAAAAATTTATATTCAATAACACAAAATATAAATGATCTCCCTGTCTCTTTCTTCTCTTGTCTTTGGTGATATGTATTAGGCATCCTCTAAATATCTTCAACGTTGTTAAATCTTTTATTGTTCGCGCGTGCCATATGTATCAATCTCAAACACTGCTTCTTCGCCTCTTCATTTCATTTTCTAGCACGAATAATCTATCAAAAGTTATTTTATGTTTCCTTTCTCTATCTTTCTTATAATACATTGTTTTATTATAGAAAATTCTAACACCTAAGATATCTATCTATACTTATACTAATAAGTATAGAATACATTAAAATCATTTTTTTATATATATTAATATTAAACATTCTTATGAATATAGCTTTCTTTCTTTTGTTTTTTTTTTAAATTTGAATATTATTGTCCAATTGATTTGTGCTTGTAATCTACACATATTGTCATATGAAAATATATATTGAAGAAAATGTATTAGATAAAAAAGTTTCATCCATTCTCATATTTTTTATATTATTCATCATTTAAATTATAATTAAACAAGTTGAATATGCAATCATATGTTATTCATTATCATTAAGGATGACAAATGAAAAGGGCAAAACAATCATTTCATTTTGTATAAACATATGATAACAATTGAATATACAGTTCACACATCAGCATAGTACATTCTGATTTTTCTCTTTCTCCTCAAATTACAAAACCAATAAATCGGTAGTTTAAGCTGTTATTCAAGATATCCCCCCTTTCTCTCCTTTCTCTCTCGACTTATGATGATTTGTATGAAAAATAAACATTCACAGCATGACTCTCAGATATTTCAAAAGAGAATAGATGTATCATGAATTTCATTATTCACATGAAATGAAAAAAAGTTGATATTGAATAAGATGAAGTAAGATATGCAAGCAAACATCAAACAGAACAATGGATTATGTCTCTCCTCACTTCATACATGAAACAGTCTGGTATATTTGAAATATTGGGTTTCTTTGCAAAAAAAAAAACGAAATCGTTCCATCTAGAAAGCTTGCAACATGAATGCTCTAACAGATTATTCATTCAATTCATTCTAATTAGTATAGTTGAATAGAAGATGATGTTTCGAAATCGAAATTATCTTTCTATTCAACATTGCAAGATATGAATATGAAAAGAATATTGTTTTTCAATTCTTTCTAAGGTATTGTAATGGAATAATTGAAGAATGAAAAAAACTCTCTATCAATTCATGTTATTCAAAACAATACAGAAGATGTATTATAATTTCTTGCGTTGGTGTTAGATGTGACGTGAATGAATACTTCGTTAATGGAAAGAATGCTATGAAACCAAGATAGGACGCCATCAATTAGTCGCTTGTTTTGCAACAACAACTGAGAAGCATGAACGCACTTGTTAAGAAAATCTTGTCCAAGTTAAAGACTAGGGAGGCAAGTGATATGTTATATGAAACAGAATATGATTCAGGAAGTTTCTTTTTTCATCAAAGTACAGTAGGAGCATGAAATGAAAATAAAGAAAAAGTATAAACGATTGAAATGAAGAAAGGAAAATAAATGACGTTTTAAGCAGCTAAAGCTCTATTATATACAAAGGACGCTTTTCCATAAGGTCGAATGAACACTCTTTAGGCTACGTAACGCTAAAAACAAATGTAAAGGATACTGTTTTTACGTATGCTGTATACAATAAGGGCGCTAAAGGCATTCCTTATGTTCTTCAAAAAATATTTTTGACTGCAGTTCTTTTTGTTTTTTCATAATTTGTATCCGCTTTTTTTCAAGCTTTATGACTTTATCATTTAACAGCTTCTTCTCGGCCAGCAAACAATTGAATTCATTCTCTTTGTCCATCATACGATCATTTATCTGCAAAAGGACCTTCACCCTTTCTTATCGGAATAAGATAATACGTACTTGGAAATGAACTTGGATAACCAAATTCTTCAAAAAATTCATACGATTTTGTTGAAATTTCTTGACATAGTTCGCTTTCCACATTGTCATCATGGCTTTCCTTTGTTTCGAAAGTTTAATATGAAAGTCATCATTTAGTTCTATGATGATGATAATAGATCAGAATAACAACAATGGTAAAATACTTCGAACCTGCATATGTTTTGCTCGCTACTTCCAACCTATCACATGTGTTTACCAATTTGATTTGTAAATCTTTTTGAATGGTTGCCACTTCTGCATGAAATAGGTTGATTATCTGTTTCAGTAGTTCCTCTTCTCTCTCAATAGTGCTTGTGATGAAGACAGTAGCATTTTCTTCTTTCAATGATCTGAATATTCAACAGCATTTTTTTTCGTAAAAATCAGATTAATTGTAGCCTCTGAATGAAATCGTTTCGGTTTGTCCACAAACCTGCTTTTCAAGGACGGTAAACAATCTGATTGATAATGAATTCTGGTCAAAACTTCATCTCTAAGAGTTTTTATCACATTTGAATGTTTCTCAATGATGACCATAAGCGATTCTAATAAAGCTGTAAGTGCTGAGCGTGGATTGTGTGAGAATTCAATTTCCATTCGGATTGAACGGAATGAGCTTGCAACTACTAAGCTATGTATTCTCGCTTCTCATTTTTAAAATAAATCTACCGTTATGTAATCCATTTCACACTTCAATTCAGTTATTGCTCCGCTAAATTGATTTTCCATTAAGCTTGCTAAACATTCATGTTCCTTTGATTATATGAAACGGCCATTGAGACCATTCTTAATGTTTTCAAATGACTAAAGCGTTGAGAATCACGTGAATTTCATGCCTATCCGAATAGGTCGTTTGTTCTCTGGGCGCTTAAGTCATCGCTTTGTCTAAAGAAGAAATCAATATGTTTAATGAGGAAATAGTTCATGTGATAGGAGAATGGTGACAACAATACAAAATAAAAAAAAAAAGATGATAGACGATCGATTAGGAGTGATCATGTGAAAAGGGAGATTCCCCACTCTCATCCTCTCTTACGTTATATTGTTCTTTCTGTTGATCTATCTCTCTCGTTCTCTCGCTCTCACGTTTTATCACAAGCAGCGACCTACGCTGGTCATTCATTCATTCATTCTAACAATTTCTGATTTGCCAGATTGTTCACATCAAAACCCAACGGTTTATCGATTTGATATTTGAAATGGCTTCTTACCTGCAAAGAGTAAGTTCTAAATACATTTATTGACTTTTATGGTCATAAAAATTTTGTATGTTTATTGATATTTATTCGGTTCCAGACACCTTCTCCACCTGTTCATTCTTCATACCATTCTGATAATATGCAATCCATCGACTCTTACACTTCTTCCTGTTGTCAAGTAATTATTACATTTCATACCTATTATTGACTATCAAATGCTAACAAATGATTCTTTTCTGTTATAGGAATGCATGTGTTGGGTTTGTTGAGGCTTCAACCCCCGATATAAGTACATTCAATTCAACATTTGTTCCAAACGATACATTTAATCAAGCTAACTATTCCATTAATAATCCATATTCATACACCGATAGTCAATATACTTCTTCAAGCACAACTTCTCCAGTTCATGAGCTATCATCCTCAGTAAACAGTTTTAGAATTCAAGATAAGGTTTGTAAATACACATCTAATTGCTTTTATGCTCATCATTAATTTGTTTCAGGATGAAATTCTCGAAGAAATTGTTAGAGAATGTGAAGCTATCATAGATAGACAGTCTTCATTATCACCAGCTACTCTATCTATTTCATCTTTATCTTCATTAGTGAGTTGTCTTTTCATATTATATTGACCAACCCAAGTTTTTATTTTAACGCAATAGATAAATTGATTTGTTTCAGGAATCATCACCAGAACCATGTGATTATAAACCTGTTCACCGCGTTCAACGAAAAAAAGTGAGAAATATATCATTAGATTTATTATAACAAATATATATTTGCTTTAAGGAACAGAATAGAGCAGCCGCAGTCAGATATCGTGAGCGTAAACGCAAAGAGCGTGATGAGCAAGCTAATGTACTCGGCGATCTTCAAACTACGAATAAAGGACTTCATACTAAAGTATTTTACTTAAATCAATATGCGTAATTGCCTAATTCATTTTTCCAGATAGATGATATAACCAGAGAAATTGCAGTAATGAAGAAGTTGCTTGTAGAGTTAGGAATCAATCCACAAAAACCTTAAAACGAATTTGTTTTTTTTTTTTTTTAAATTTCCTCGTCTTTTCATTTTTCTTTTTCAAAATGGAACATGTGTGTTTACTAGTTTGGGCATCATAAACTTTTACATTTTCATTCGTTCATGTCTCTCTATTAGATGATGAAATGATATAACAGTTGAGCAAGTATATAATCCAATTGAAAACCTTATTTCTTGCATAATAGCCTAATGAATGTTAATATAAAATGAAATTACAGAAATAAAGAATATGTTAACCGTTGATTGAATATCTATCAACTCAAAAGTATATTTATTCAAGCGTCCTCGTTAATGGCTATTCAGTAATTAAATGTTGCATCTTTGAGCCAAAAAAGAAATTTCAAGCAGCATGTGCTTTGACAATCGATGCCCTCCATCCGTCTTGTCTTAATAAAGTAGAAAGAAATTGCAAAATGTATTTTTCATTCTACTTAACTCTTCTCACTTGCCATCGTCACTGCTTGCATTGATGATGTGGCACAAAAGTACTTTGAGAATAGAAATATCAATGCTTCACTGACTCTGATTCTTCTTCTAATAGACTATGTTTAGCACATTTCTGCTTCTTTTATAAAGATGTTTAAGGATTTTCTCTCGGAAATATGATGTTTAGCGATGTACAATTTGCAGATTTTATTTCGTTTGAGGCAATCTTTGACAAACACATTGTTATCCATTAGTGAAACATGAATAGAGCAGTGTCAATCAGTCCTATTTCTTTCTTCATCATCTGTCTGAGAACATGCGTGAATATGTGGAATTAAGCAAAAAATCTTTTAAGAACTTCAACTAATGTCTCCAGAGATTGCAAAAATCGTTGTACTAGTCAGCAGCACTTGATATAGTGTCCGAGAAACTTTCTCATTTGCATCTCACCCCCCCCCCTCCACTCCTTACCCCCAATAGCTTCAGAATTTATTTAAATATTTCATTTGTTGCCAAAAACTTTTAAATGCATATATCTTGAAAAAAGAAAAGCTGTATTTGAATAGATGAATGAACTCGTATCGTTTTGTACTTTCCTTTTTTCAGATTCAAATATTGATGTATTAATACATTAGGTAACTTACTTTGTTATATACAATGTCACCTCCGATTGTCACAAATGCCACTCAGTATCCACCTTCGGAGCAGCCAGCACCTGGGCCAGTGCGAGGCGGAGGCTTTTTTGGAGCTGTACTGAATGATTTGAGAGAGACATATTGTGATGCATTACTTTAGGGATTGCTACGGCCACGACCTTTGCAATCATCGTATACAAAGAAAAAAGGTTATTCAATGACTGCTGTCTCAGAAGCTGACAGCCAAGATGAAACAGAGAAACATGTACGACTGAACGTATGAAAAAACGATTATATTTTATTAATTCAGTCATTATTAACAAATGAACGTGGAAAAATAATCAGTACTGGTCTACGTCCCCGTGCCAAGTTGTATCCCTTGTCTCACGAAGAAACAATGGACTTACTATTCTATCTAAATCAAGGTCTGTTATTTTATATTTTTTATAGTTAGTCCATTAACGAGTATAAACTAAAGAACACTGATACTAACTTCAAAATTTTATTGAAAAACACATTTTCTTTTATTTTATAACGTTGTTGAAAGGAATATATAGCAAAGACAGATAGTGTGTGTTGAATAGAAAAAAAAAAAGCTGTCAGTAACGAACATTATTTGGAAGCTAAGTACTCATTCGTACATGAACATAATGAGTTGGAACATAAAACTATAACATCATCTTCTCATTTATCCTCCTCATATCTAAAAAAGGCAGTATTGTCATTCGCAATATCAACATCCTAGTTTGCCTAATTTACAATTCTCCATCATTGATTTGCATTTAAACAAAGATGAATTAAAATACAATTTTCTGACTATAAATAAGCTGAGAGAGACAAAAAAAATCAAAAAAAATCTAATAAGTTTGCATCTCTGAAATGAACTCATTGCAATGCATAGTACTGTGCTTTCATGAAAACAACCTCATTTAATTGAATCTTTTCATTATTTTTAATGAAATATTTGTTTGCCTTACAAAGCAAAAGTTCAGTAAAGTGTGTGTGTGTGTGTGTGTGGTAGCTTTTGTCTATATATGGCTATATATATATATATATATGGTTTATGAAACACTTTCGTTTCAACGTATAAACATTTTGCTAAACATGTCTTTTCTTCCTAAACTACTATAGACATTCAATAACTCTTTATTCCAATCACTATTTTTGCTCTCTCTATCTCTCATTAGCTCTGTTTTTCTCAGATATTCTCTCATTTTGGGCTATTTTTTAAACAAAATTACAGTATGGATTCTATGAAAAGAACTTCTAGAAAGACTGTTGTATTTGATTTGTCGTCAGGTATGTTGAAAGCTTTTCCATTAGTCAAACTACTTTTCTATTCTTTTTGTTTAAATGCCTTTAACCTTAATCTACCTCACATGAGTTAGTACATAAGCACAGCAGGGGGTCCATTGACTTCATCTTTTGTCATAAAAACTTTTACGCAACATACATAACCCTCTTTCTCTCTCTCTCTTAAATTATTCTTTAACAACTTTGCCTCATTCGTATAACAAACGTTTCTCATGTGTTCACGAATGTATCAGGTTTGTTTTTTTATTTTTTATTTTTCCGTTTCTCCTCTCTTTCCACAAGCACTTACCACTTCACTTAGAAATTTAATATTTTTTCACATAAAGATTATGAAAAAAGTTTTTTGTTTTTCGTCACACTCCAACAGACTGTTGGTTTTTTCGGAAGAATAACTCATGCTACTCACATATTGAGGATAGTAGATGAATGATTGACGAATAGTTTAAAGCTCTCAGATTGTACTTTTACAGCCACCCATCTGTCATAAACAATATGCAAAAACGATATTTTGGCATGAAAAATCTTTTCATTTTGAAAACACTTCACTTTATGGCACTCTCACATACATTCAGATTTATTTAATTATTTTCTAATATTTCTGGCTCCAATTTTTGTGACCTGGGCTTTACGTTGTGTACGTGATTCTCTGGTGCAAATCGATCCATTGGCAGCTGCTATTACATATGATTCTTCATCAAACAAACCGCTTCCTACAATATCAAGAACACCGTTGCTTTTGCAATTCACTCCATTTGGTGCCAGTACTAACTCATGTAAGTTAAATGGGTGGAGTGGGAGGGGGAGTAGAACATGTAAAGCAGAAAATTCTGTTAAAATCGTATGAATCTTTAATGAAGGATTAAGACAGAAAAAAAATCTTTCAAGTTCCTCATCGCATGACCACATACTACATGATGGTGGTGAATAGAGAGGGGGGGGATGGATTGTTAGAAAATTGAATGAAACTTCAATAGAAAAGTTTGGTTAACTGCTGAGTATGATAGTAAAAACTCGCAATTGAAACACTAGATTTCATAGATTTTTTGTTTGGTAAAGGGCCATCAGAAGCAAAAAAATTTTTAATTGCTTCGAGTTTTCCTTTGAGTATTATCGTCTTGGGAGCACTCATGAATATAACAATGAAGTGGTGCTTTTTAGTTTTTTTTTTCAGAAAAATTTGTTTTTTCTTCTGTAGAAAGCAGAAAGATGTTGAAGAAATTAATGGGCTATAAGAGTTTGGAAAAGAAAGAAGAAGTTGAAAATCTTCTTTCTTAATGTAGTCGCATTAGAATATAATTTTTTTTATTTTGTTCTTTGTTTGTTGAAGCTCTCATACATCAGATCACAGATGACATGTTGCCATTTCTATTCTCTAGATACTAAAGGTGATGAGAGAGATTAGAAATCTGAAAAGATTTCTTTTTTTTTTTTTTCTCATATCACATAGCTTGTTTCGTTGAGATGTGCAGAGCATGCGTCAAAGATTGACAGTTTTTGGAAATGATGAGCCGTTATGCACTAGAGGCAGTTCGGCTGTCCATTGAGACAAACTTGGATATGCTCATGATGATTTATCTGATATTGCTTTTGTTCTAATGACCGTCCGAAGTTGTCCAAGCGTGTCTTCTTCCTTATGTTTTCCACACTTTTTGTTCATAAAAATAATTTTGATTACTACTTATCTGCTCATATCACATGATTATAATTTTTTATCTCAAAAAATTTAACTCCAAAAAAAAAAAATAAGTTCTCACTGAGAGCTTCTCATTTGAACGTGAGAGTGATGATGTTAGAGAGGGAGAAGATGTTTGCAAACATAAATTGTCATATTCCATAATATTTTCCATTCGAATATTTCAACTGAATATCTTCGCTTATTCAATGACTCTGTTATATACATCGTCAAGTTATTCAGAATATGATGAAGTTCATAGACGCTGAATCCTACAATTCTTATTCTGATAGTGATAGTATCAGTTCGTGGGATGTATTCAATACACCGTCTGATCATAACGTATTTTCAAGATCAATTAACTGTTTCGTAGGCGAGTTTGATATTTTGATATTTTTTTTTTGCTGTTGGTTCATATATGTTTATGAACTTCAAGGACTGAGATATTCGTTTCAAAGCGAAAAGTGAGAACAACATAAGTTTAAGTTTAAACAGACGTAACGCATTCTGATAATATTCTACTTTATGAAACAAAATATGAAATAGAGCTCATCCATTATCTTCTCCGGAGTGTTTTTTGGAGAAAGATAAGTGAAAGAGCAAAAATATCTTGACAATTGTTATCTGAAGTGTAATGCGAAACTTATATCTGAACGCTTTTTCAAGTATGAGAGCACGAGTAACTCCTCTCATTTTTTCAATCGCATTCGTTCAATTTCTTTTCTTCTTTGAACATTTTTTTTCCGGGTTTCAAAAACTACACAAGATGATAATGAATGTCTTTTTTGATTCTTATCTCAAAAACTATCAATTCTTCCTTGTTTCTGCTTGCATTCCATGATATCCTGATCATCTCACGATATTCTTCTGAAAATACTCTATTTAAAACTATTTTTTATCCAGTCGGGTGTCAATAAGACATGTTTCAAAGCGAACAAAAAAAAGTTTTCATTTCATGCTTTTTCTTCCTTAATAGTGTATGTTTATTTTACTCTTGCATTTGTTTAATTTCTTTTATCTTGCGCTAAGAAAATTTCTTTTCTTCTGTTGTGTCATAGAGTTTGTAAACTTGAGAGCAGCATAATTTATGCTATTGCAAGACTCCACGCTATCCTTAGGCTACTATATTTTCCAAACTTGTATATGAGAGAGAGAAAGCCATAAAGGAGAATGGAAAGATTCAGAGAAAACATCAGAATTGAAGAGATAACAGCATTTAAAAAAATTGAAAGAAGAAGAGAATGTGAAGAGAGAAAAAGAAATAAAATGTTTTAGAAGAAGCATTTTCAAGAGAGATAGCAAGAAAAAAAAGGAGATGAGAGAAAACCAGTGTATAGAAAAGGAAAATAACATGACGGCAAGAAGCAGGCAAAGCCAAGAAGTGGAGAAAATCTTACTGGCCAATGGCAATCTCTCTCTCTCTCTCTCTATATCTTGAATACAAGAGAGAGTATTATACATTTTTTTCTGAATGAAAATATCTTCAAATCACAAAAGAATATTTTGCTTAGCCTAGTATTCTCTTAGCTCTTTTTTTTTCATTTTTTTTTGTTCTATGAACACGATTTCATTACTCTCTGAAATGACATAACGTTTCCGTTCTGCTTAAAACTTTATGAACAATAATTTATAAGAGCAAAAAAATCATCAAAAACTGAGTCGACCATACATCTTATTCAGAATTCACATGGATTGGTCAGTCTGTCATCGTTGTCAAATTCATTCAGTTTTCAGCTTTCTCTTATGTTTCTGAAATAATTTCCGTAACAGCAACAAAGCCTTTCAGTTTTCATCTGAACTATCATTTTGAACTCATTTTTTTTACATTATCTGCGCGTTTTGCACAATATTATGATTAAGAATATTTTGCTTTTGTTAAAAATTCTTTTCATTTCTGTCATATTGTCTTTCTGACATGAAAAATTTAAAATATATTAAAAAATATTTTTTTTTGGTTGGAATTCCATTTGTTTATTGGAAATAAAAAACAGCAACATGACCCGTCTTCAAAAGTTATCTTAGTCATAGTTATACATCTTTGCTCTTGTTTCATCTATTTGTCTATATCTGTCAAAATTATGAGAGAATATTGATTTCAATAGACTTTTTTTGATTTCGCATATGCATATTCATTCTTTATTCGATATGCAGAAGTATGTTTCTTCGGAAATTTTGGAATCAATGGACCTTAGAAGAAAATGCTCGGCGTATGACGATAACTGTTCTACCATCCGGAACAAAAAAAGTCCATTTACGGAGCGCTGAAATAAATGAACATCTCATTTATCCAAACTTGATAGAAAGTAATGGTAGGTTCTAGTTCGATTTTACATAGATCATTGTTGAATAATGTCCCCTTGAGAGATGTAAATTCTGTTCAAAGCTGTCTATGAGCACATTATCTCAATTAGTCAGTTTATCTTGTTAGAGAGTTAACATCTCTGAAACATCTTTATTTCTTTTTTTTTTTCCGCCTCTGTTCTCTTGCATCTCGGAATGTCTAGTCATTGATGCTATTACTTGAATGAATTGAGAATGCTCAGTTACATTTTTCGGAAATTGGTCAATCCGGCACTCTTAGACATCTATAACAGAACGACATTTATCTGACCATTTAAAGTTCTTAATAGAATATTCATTTGAAATTCTTTCCATGATTTATCTGCTCAAGAAATATCTTTCGAACAAAAAAAAAATGGAAAAGAATGTATAAAACCCGTCTCCTATTGTGTGAGGAACAAGAAAATCATTTCGAATTTGGTTTTGGACGGGCGCGAGTTATAACAGAGTTCTTGTTTTGTTTATATAGCACATCCCGACATATATATGCTTGTAATGGTATTATATAAAGAGAAAAAAAATTTTATTCTTCTCAAGAAGAAAGAGCATTTTTCATAACTGACAGCCGTCTGAATCTGAACTTAATTACAAATAATTAATGACCCTGTCCATTGGTGAAGGACTAAACGATTCTATTTCATTAAAGATGAAAATGTTGGGATAAGATGTTTGAAACATGCATCTCTGATGTCCGTCTAAGAAAAGCCTTTCTTCGAACAAATGATTGAATTACGCATTTAATGTCTTGAACATTTTATCATATTTTGGCGTTTTTAGATTGAGTGAGATGAATCGTGCCAAACTTCGGCAGCTTCTGAAATATCGTCAAAATTTGAAGAAACGCAGAGACTATTGAAGAATGATAGAGAGACAATGTGATTGTCAAATATGGCAAGAAAGAAGAAAGAAAAGAATGAATCGTTTTTAACAAAACGATGACTGGTTCATATGTCTCTCTTTCTCTATTTTAAAGTCTCTTTCTAAATCCTTCGTTTTAGCAATCGCTTCCACAATTTTTCTTCTTTCTCTGACCAGTCTTCATATTATCTCTTTTTTCCTTTCATGACTAGTAATAACAGCTCCGCCCACGAATTTGCTTGAAACAAGCAAAGAAACTTCGTATTTGAGAAGTTTAGCTTAACTGAAGCCAGAATTATCAATTTAATATTATAAATAGCTACTTCATTCTATATTGTTCCCTTCTGAGAACATTTTGAGGCAAATTGCTTTTTGAAAATCCATTCCAGAAAAGCGTATTCATCCACTAAAGAAATGCTGCTGAAGAGCACTTTTGAAATTAAATGATTTCATTCAAGATCTCATTTTGATAATCTCATCAATTCTACTCTTCCAATTATTTCATTATTCGAATCCACTTGAAGCATCCAGTGGAGTGCTGGAACTTCATAGTGATTTTCCAAAAACCTCTTGCCTCATTTTGTCAAATAATTTTAATTTAGTTGCACATACTTGCTCAAAAAAAACAAATTATGTTTTTCTATTCGCCTCATTCAAGAGGATCAATGTCAATGCGCAGAATGACATTGGCACCTGCCCAACAATTGAATGTTGGTTCTCTTGATATGTATAAAAATATGTCTTCCTCTTTCTTTCTGGCTTCTAAAAGCGGTCAAACTCTCTCAAATGCTCAAGAAAATAATAGTGGTGAACGATATCATTCATCTACAAATGATAGTCGTGATCATGTTTCATTAATGCGATCAGTTAATGGAATATCGCCAGTTTCATCTGTTATTTCAAACTGTGACCTTATTAACTGCACACGTAAACCAAGCAAAAAACTTCTTTTACGTAAATCAACAATCTCCATTGGTGAAGGAGAACGCATACTGATAGGTAATAATTAGATTCATATATGGATATTATAATAATAAAATATTAATATATATCTAACAGTTTATTCCGAATGTCAATATTACTGATACTGCTGTCGAGTTTTTGAGAAATGTGTCAAAATCGAGTTTTATCTTTTTCAAGCATCGAATCATTTAATTCTTCTTCTCAGCTCAATACTTTATATGGATGACTTCTTATAGAAGTTTTTCCTTCTTTTTTCTCTTTTTGTTGAAAATGGCACGCAGAAATCCCATGTGTATTGCCTTCTCTTTTGTTCATGATTTATGAATCTCATTCATGGTGAGATAGCTAGTCAATACTGAAATCTTGAGTCGTTTTCTCTGATTTATTGGCTTAAAAATTCAGAAGATTAATTTGGGAAAAAAACTTGAAAGAAGAAATATTCATAAGATGAGGGAGAGTTAAATTAAGAGATTAAGAAGGAAAAAAAGTTTATCCATAAATGAATCATTATTAAGACCATGTGACAGCTCGATGGGAAGGAAATCAGATGAACCAGCAGCCCAGCATCTTGGATGGCGATGATGTTACAGTCCTGACAGATACTGTGAAAGGAGAAGAGGAGTCAGCTGAAGAACCAAAAAATTGTCTTCAGCAAACAGTTAAAGTAAGAAAAATTTTCCTCAATTTGCATAAAATGTTCTTTATAGTATATTAAAATCTTAATTCCTCATATTATCTTGGTAGCAGTTCTCATTGGTTATTTATGTCTTGGAGCATGGATATTAATGCTTTTAGAAACAAGAACAGAGCTATTGGCAAGATCGCGGAAGCTTGTGAGGTAAATCATATTTGATTATGATCGATGAATGTACAATCGAAAATTTTTGATTGACTAATATGATGTCAAACTTCACTGCCAGTAGTTGGTCAATAGTGAATGATGCTCAACATGGAATGAAAACAATCGATCAGGAAAAATGGGCAGCGACTTTTAGGTTTTTCTTGACGGCTCTTTAAGAGATTAAACGAATATTTCTTCAAGAGAATGGATGCTATCAGTGTCGGAAACAGTTGATGATCGACGTCCCATTAGGAAAGAATTAAATAGACCTGATGACATTTCAAATATGCACAACAAATGGACGTTTCCAACAGCGTTGTTGTATGTATTGACTGTGTTAACTACTTGCGGTTATCTCAAACTTCAAATCAAAAAGTAACATTTCTATTAAGGTTATGGAGAAGTATCTGTAGATACAGATGTAGGAAAAGTTTTTTCTGTCGTCTTTGCATTAGTGGGTATACCCCTTATGTTCATAACAGCAGCAGATATCGGAAAGTTTTTATCTGAGACTCTTTTGAAGTTTGTTAGTAACTGGAACAGAATGACTCGTAAAGTGAAGGTAAGACCAGGCAAATGCTATGAATGGAAAGAATGACAATCTTTCAGCAATTTCTATGTCGTACACGGCATGGTCGCAGGAAATCTTTGCAATCTTCAATTGGAAAGACTGATACGATGGATATTCTGGGGGTTGATGGAACAGAGGAAAAGCTGTGGTTCCCGATAGGTAATCATATAAACATAAAACTGATGACAATTTCTCAAATATTAAGGTGCCTATGTTTCTTGTATTTGTCTTTACTGCTCTATGGGCTCAGCAATGTTTATCAACTGGGAAAGGTAACCGCCCTCTAGTTTGAAACTTCTTAACGAATATTCAGGAGCTGGTCATTCATTCATGCTTTCCATTTTGGTTTCAATCTTATTGTAACAGTGGGATTGGGAGATATAGTTGTGAAAGATTATATATTTCTTTCTCTCATCGTGGCTTTTGTTATTGTTGGTACGTGACAGATGTCTGTAATGAAATATACAAATGTGTTTTTAGGTCTTTCTGTTGTGACAATGTGTGTTGATTTAGCATCTACTCATTTGAAAGCATATTTCACTAGAATTCACTATTTCGGTCGAGCCAAACGGTAAAATTCAAAGAAGAACTGATAAATGATGAGAAATTCAGATTCCTTGGAATGAGCGAAGAATTGAAAGAGATTGTTGCTCTATTAGGAGCAATGAGAAGGAAAAAGGGAGGAAAGGTCACATGGAATGATGTGCGCGATTTCTTGGATAACGAGTTACGTGATCGACCATTTGAGCCACATGAACTTCTAATGAAACTTCGTTTCATTGATGAAACATCTTCAGGTAACATAACTGTTTGACAAGCTATAACAATTTATATTAGTAGGACTGTCGACTGTTCGTCACAACTCGTTCCAGTCAGATTTCTTCCGAGAATCAGAGTATATTCGAAGAGTTCAAGCACTGCGTCCTGAGCAACCAACATTTCTTTAAAATATTTGATAGAAACTGAAAATTTGAAAAAAATCATAACCATTTCTTCATATCTGAAGGGAGAAAAGAAGATTTTGTATGACACATCGTCTTTTTCGTTATTCTTCCCACAGCTATGCGATGAGTGTTGCTTCTTTGGCTTAGTGTGATGATCTTAATCCTTTCTATTTAAATGTTATGTTCCAAATATTTCAAAATGAATAATAAACAAATTATTGTGAAATACTGTATAACAGTGCATTGCACACATCTGAACTCATAACACAAGTCGTCAAAAACAAATTGATTTGACAAGTTCATAAGGGAGGTAATCAAAAACATTTCCGAGAAAAACATATTAAATTTTTGAATCCCTTAAGTTCCATTCTCAAATATATTTTCATATTTTTCATATGGAAGATTTAATCATTTTCTCCGATAGGAAATTTTATCATAAGTTTGTTTAGCAGTTGCTTCTTAAAACGAAATCACCTTCATGCACTTAGTATAAACTACTTTTCCAGCAAGCTATTGCACTTCATCTTTGATAGTCGGAAAACTCAGTTTATAGAAATAATGTTATTTATAGCAGCTTAATGCTTCCGTTTGAGGGGTTTGATGACGTCCGAAGGGAAGTCAATGATTATTATACGCAAGAAAACTCAACTCAACATTATTTTGGGACTGCTTCCGGAATCAGACATCACGCCAAAACTTAAATAGATATCATTGTGGGGTGTTGCATAAAGCTTGTTATCTTATATAGATGTTCACAGGAGTACAATATAGATAAAGCTTTATAAATTCTGTTCTTGTTATAGAAAAATTATAAATTCACAAATGTGCAACAAATCACATTTCGTTTTCAATTTCAACTTATAAACAGTTAACTTCTCATTAATTATATCGGATGCTCTGAAGTTCAAATACATTGTTTACATGAGCACTTCTGCTTGTCCAGCAGCAAGGAGCTTACCCAGCGTTTCTTTACAAAGTCGCGTTCTTTCTAATTGTTCTTCAGTAATTACAATAGGAGGCAAGTTTGGATTGTCGGCATGTACTGATTTCTCATGCTTCGATTTCAGATAGCGAAATAGTGTTGTCCGAAAACTGCTTGAGAACTTGAAGTAAATAACAAAATTGAAGCTGAAAACGACAGCTTATGATCAAAAGATAAGATTATGCAAACCTTGAATTAAAAACTACTAGAAGATTGGAAAGATCAACAAAATAATTGATTTTAGGACCGATCAATTCTTCAATTTGTCCTTCAAAAGTATTCAATAGCAAAGCAGCTACGTTACATGCTATGAATAGAAGTACAACCAAAACCTATAACACCATTATGCTTATGCAAACGCTTTTTAAGAGAGGACTAACAAGTGAAATTGTGTCATCTTTGCTAGCTCCAGAATTTCCAAACATGGAAGCACCTGAATTTTTTTTTAGTATTTTGGCTAGTCTCTCATTATAAACTCACATATGATGAAAGTATTCAAAATAACGAGAATCACAAGTGGGCCAACAGCCAGGAAAACTGCATACATATATTGATAGTAGACAGTTTGATACCTCAAAAACCAGTTTTAAAAGCTACACTATCACGAAATGTTCTTACATTTCATTGAATCGCATCGTCTCAGGACAGACTTCCCATGACGATCCATCAAATCCAACATGGTAGCAATCAATCACTATTGCCTATTATTTCATGAAGCTTATTGACAGCTGTTTGTTTTTTCATACCTCGAAACAATGAGGAATGTTATACAGCACTGACCAAATCAGCACGGCAAAAACGCTTTTCCGTACAAACTTGGGACTCGATATGAACTCTCGAACTCGTCCTGGCATGCAAACCTGAAGTTCTCTGTTCGACCTTTTTTCATTTTGGCATTCAAAGTTCACCTGTGCAAAACAATCAATGCCAGCCATTAGTGTAAAATATACGGAGCACGTTTGAGCTGTCATTCCCATCGGATAAACAATTGGTGAAAACGCCTTAAAATAAAAACTTGTACTTCTAAGAATAAACTATTTATGAACTAACGCCAAATACTCTTGTTAGGTTGTGTGAGAATTTGCGCACGCTTTCAACAAAAAATAGAAAAATCCCTGTTAAGATAACAGCACTATCAGAACATCCTAGAGCACACAAATAAAGATTTGTAGAGCAACGCATATCTGTGAGATAATGATTTATTTGTTTTCTTTTAAATGATAGATGATAAAACCTGGGCGGCTGTAAATAAATGCTGATAATCCGTTGCCAATAAGACCTAACAATCCAATCAGTGGCAGAATGAAACCACTTATAATTAAATTATAAAGTACATAATGGCTTTCTCTTAATGAGTGTTCGCATAATCCACACTTTAAAATAATATTATTTTTTCTTTTTTATACACTTTTTGATCAAAACAAACCTGAGGCAGACAGCCAGTAAAATTTGGCTGCACATCAATGATACTGTGCTCAACAAGGCGATCCAATGATGGTATTGAATCACAGCCAATTGGATAAGTGATGTTCATGTCAGCATGTGATTGTGGCTTAAAATGTCTTTTATTTCAACACTTCAAGCGTTTTCAGTAATAAATTGAGAGAAAATAACAAGAAATAGGAACAACGTTATCTGAGAGAAAGACGAAAGTATCACTCAGCTAATCCAAAAATCCGCCAAGCAACTGACTCAAGTTGTCAGAATATAGCTTAGTAATATAGATCTGGGGCTACTCTTTTGATGGCTGAGAGTTGAACAGACCAGATAAAACAAAATGAAAATCGTTGAAATGTCAATTATTCAAGTTTGTCTGACATTGAAGAGTGCGAAGAAGACGCATTTGAGGTGAGTAAGAGAAGATATTCTAAATCTAGCACGAGACAGATGTCTTTCGAGAACAGATGTTCATATCTTCTTTTTTAACAAAAACTCTGATTTGAGAACATCCGTCATATACTTACTGTGAATTCAATAATAGGAAATTCTCTTAGAAACACAAACATCATATCAATTTATTATTTTATTTTTCTTTCTATTAACTTTAGCAGAATTTTGTTTTCAAACTATCTTTCTGCACTTAATGGGAATATGCCAGTTCACAAACAATACTATAATGTATGATTATAAGCTGAAACTTATGGTATTCCCCCCCTTTCACTTGTTATACAATTTATTTGAGCAAAAAATCTTCTGCTGCTTTTTTCTCTTCTCCACACACTCAACGAGCCATATGTCGTTTTGATTAAAGATGTGAAGATCACAAGTAAACCAATCTAATAGAATTGTGAGGTCAATGTGAGATTGATTTCAGAAATAATAAACTTGCGGCTTTTAAAAATGAAATATAATAAAAAGAAAGAAGCAAAATAGGGTCGCCAAGATCATTTGAGAAAGCAAGTGGTTTGGAGTTTAGATGATAACTGAAGGAATTCATGTTTAATGCACTTTAGACATATAATTAATGTTTGTTTTTGTATATAACAGCGAGCAGAGAACCAAAAAACGATTAAAAATAATAATTTTTTATGTGGAAAAACAAAATTTCTCATTTTTATTTTTGTCTCTCCTATCCATCAAGAAGAGAAGATATTTTAATTTTAACATCAGTCCCATTGACACAGCAGTCTTTAAACTTTTTTGAGAAATTCTTTTTTATTTTTTGGGAAAGAAAAAAAAAAAAAACTTTGCTAATAACCTTCCAGTGGAAGTAAACTTCTCTTTCACTCGCTAAGCAAAAACAGAGAGAAGAACGATGTCTCACTCGATGGGCTAAAAACGGGCTCGAAAAAGTGTTGAAGGTGCATAATGAGGACAGGATCATTGTGGCTTGGATATTAGTGTCAAACTCGTATATACGATTCTGGAGAACAAAAAGCTCTTTTTTTTTTGTTATTTTGTTGAAACTGTTTTCATTCGAGTTAAGTTCTCTATCAGAAAAATTCAATTTCAACATTCAGTTTATGGAAGAGTAAGTGAATTTTGAAATAAAAAAATATATCTGTAGACGTACGTTTACACACACACACACACACACACACATTCCCACACACACACACACTTGACAGATACAACAGATTCTTTTTTTATTTAAAAGGTTTGTAGTTTGGTTATGAGATGAAAAAAATGATCTGAAAGATATTTAACAGCCAGCTATATAACAGAATATCATGATATTGACTAGGGAAGCAGAATGTTGAGTAGCAAATGAGCAATTTTTCTTATTTAAGTATTGAGGGAAGAAGAAAGAGGATGGCACAGAAAAAAAAAACGAAGAGAAAAAAAACTTTCTTTTTCTGGTTCCAAAAAATGTTCATTTCCTTTTGATAAAGTATGTTTGCAAAAAAAAAATTGGAAGAGAAAGCTCATATTGCAAACAGTTGTCTATATTCAAGTTCTATGATGAAATAATGATGACGAGAAAGGCAGTTCGGCAATGCGATCGCATACATGGTAATGAGTAAGTCTAGCTTTTGCATTGCATTGACTGGGACGAAATACTAACGCTCATTTGTTACTAATGGAATGGAGAGATTGCACTCTATGAGAATAAAAAAAAAGGAGGAAAATGAAAAAAACTAAGAAAAGAAGTAAATTATTTCAAGATGTATTAGAACAATGATCATATCTCTCCTTTCCATACTTTTTTTTTCGTGTTGCCATTCTCTCCTTCCTACTTTATAACGTAACCACATTCCAAAGGACACACACTACTCACACTGGGGGCAACAGCGATTATTAGCATCATTTTTTTTCCTCTGTCCAAATCTATACATGTCATATTTTGAACTTTCAAACATCTTGTTAGACACTCATACTTTTTTTTTTTGTGGTGTTTCTTATTTTCGTTAACTCATTTTCTTAGTGGGTTTTCAATCTTTATTTTTTTTTTCGCCTTCTCTTACTTTGGGCTTTCACACAGTATATTTCACTTTAAAAGTTTTTCGCAATTTTCGGTCGGATGTTCTTCGAATAAACTTTCAGCTTTTCTCTGAGATTTCAATACTCTGTCTCTCTTCATTTCATCATATCCCATGGGGACCAAGCCGTTTTTCAAGTCTTACATATACATTCATCACAAAATTTTGAAGCAAACCTCGTTCTGTGGAAACAGCCGTATAAGATTGTATTATTGCATAATCTCACAAAGGAACAAAATAACAAAAAATTTGGAATAAAATGCAAGGAAAGCTTCCGAATACAAAGATGAAAATTGATCGAAGAACTAACTCGAATATCACATTCGAAAGAATAATAGAATCTTTATGGCTCAGTGAGAATGGAGCATTATCATAATTATGCAAAGGATTTGCTTTTTAGAAAAAGCTGGCAGCAATATCCATTTATCAGTTTTTAGAATCTTTTGGTGGTGTCAATCAAATAAGGCTCTGATATGACCCAATGACACAAATTCCAATTTAAGGTTTGAAAGTGGCTCACAAACTTACTCTCATATTACTAAATAAGAGTCTTAGACGATAAGAAGAGAGACACTACTACGTACATGATGGGGGAAATAAGCGCATTAAAGATGTGAAAGAACATCTTGAAAACTATTTTTCCAATTTTTCACTTCCATTCAAGTTGAAAACGAGTAGATCGAACTTCGTTTCTTTTTCCAAGCTCTCAGAGCCAACTCTTTTATTCGCAATCTTTTTCATAAGTAACGAGAAGCTTTCACAGGATTTCCGCATGTATTTCGCGAAAGGATGTCTTAATCTATCGTTTTTGCGATGACATTTCACTTCGCGATCAGATATAATTCAACAAGGAAGAAGGGATGAATTCTGATTTAAATGAAAAGAAACTTGAGATTCATTCTTCTCATTTTGCAGTGAAATTTCAAATAGTAAATGAGCAGGCAAAGCTAAAAAAAAAACAATTTAAATGTTTCAGATGCTGAAAACGAGTGAAGTTCCATCAAAATGACTTCCAAGTTTAGATGGAGTCAGTTGAAAATGAAAAAGCATTTCAAGAGAAAAAAGAAATCATTCTAAAGCTGACGATTGATTGAAATGAAGCAAGGATAGCGTTTATTGTGGATAAAACATTTTTTTTTCTTTCTTTTTTTTTTTTCAGCAAATGAGCATCATATTCTTCAATCGCTCCAAATGTTATTGGGATATGAAGATTATTTAATTAGAAAAAAAAAATCTCTTCCAAAATTCATCAAAAATAAAAGATTTTGCTCATATTTTTTTTATGTTGCTAAAACGATGAGAAAAGAGTGAACGAAGTGAAAAGAGATTAGAAAAATGAGAAAATAGTATAAGAGAACTGAGAAATGAATAGAATAATACATTTAACTATAAAACAATATATAACCAGAGAGAGAGGGAGGGAGAGAGAGAGAGAAAAAAAAAATAATTTCTTCTTCCTTCATTCTCATTTTGTACATCTCGTTCATTGGAAACAAATCGTTTATGTTTTCTTTTTTTTTGTTCTCCTATTTATTTCCAAGAAACAAAGACATCCCATTATAACTAATGTCAACAACGAGAACGAAGATATTCAATGAAACATATCAAAATTCATTGGAAAAATATGCTACCAATAGCAATCTGTTATGCAGTAAAATATAAAATGGTAGATATATACAGGATAAACCATCTGTACCCAGTTATAGGTGATGGCATATGCTAAGATCAAACTATGATGTTTTGTTTTTTTCATTTTTCATATCCTTTTCTTCTCCTTTTTCTTTGTTTTGTTTTTCTCGGGTTTCTAGAGGTATACACACATACACACACGCATACACATAGTTATACGCACAAGATATCTGTCACTAAGAAGATAATAAGCATGAATTATAATAATTATGATATAACTATATCTATCTAAGACTAACTATGCTTTAGTACAAAAATCTGGAATGAATTTCATCTGGCATCTAATCATCACATATTTACATATCTTATTTATAGATATTTATCCATCTATCTGCATTGAAACAAAACAAATAAACAAAAGACCTATATGGCAATAAAGAAAAATATAAAAAAAGAAGAAGAAGAAGAAGAAGAGAAAAGAAATGAAAACTGTTCATCATCGTATTCATCTAGAAGATATAGAAACAACAATAACAACAACAACATGAAAATGAAATAAAAAGGAAACAAAGTGAGCAAATGAATAAAAATATCTCGCCGCATGTTAAGATAACATTATTCGTCTACAAGTGAGCATCTTCATCCATGCTAACGTTCCATTGCTTTTGCAACTACTTCACTTTATCCACGTAAGAAGAAGAAAAGGAAAAAACAAATGAAAATCCTCTTAAATGCTTGCAAAATTGTATGCTCAATCTGATTTCCTCTTCTTCAATCTATCAACAATTTTTTTTTTCAAAGATTTAAAGAAATCGTAATGTTCGCATGGGCAATTGTGAATATTTAGTTTATTTACTTGACTATTTTGATTTTTTGTGTCGCAATCTTATCGTTCCTTCTCATATTTTTTGTGTGTCTCGTCTTGTCAACTCATTGTTTCTTCGTTCGTACCAGCTTATGTTATTCGATTTTTGGATCTTTCGACTTAACTCTCAAGTGAGATTTTTCTTCCCTCTTCTTGGTTAAACGTTCTTGTTTCAGACAGTTTCGGCTGAAAGAAGAGGATTGAATGTGGTGCAGAACACAAGGCTGTTGCAGACCTTCTTCATTAATATTTCGGTTTGAGGACAAGTAAAATCGATTTTCATTCATAGAAAACCTCCAGAATACTGGCTGATGTCATTCTCTTATGAATCGATTTGTCATTCATTCAACACGTTGTAATGATTGAAATGAAACCAAGTTCTTTGATCGTTCAATAAACATTCTTCATCTTTATTGTTATCCCATCTAATGCATGTTCATTTTTTTTCATTTTATCTCAACGTTGCGAAACCTTCAAAGAGAATATTAGTTAGGTCAAGTTGTGGTCGCCCAAATCTACGTTAATGTTTATGCATTATTCTAGTGCGAGAAAGAGAGAGCTGATGATACATCAATATGTGTAAATAGCATGTATATTGAGAGAGCGTGAGACCTTAGAGACGCAGCTGTGTAATGTATGTAGCAGAAGTAGTGAAAGTAGAAGAAGGCCAACCAGTCTAGTTTCTCAGATAGCGAGAAAAGAAATGTCGTCTTGTTGAATATAATAAAAAATAGTATACTATAAGTGGAGAGTGTTAGAAACGCCCTGCAATCCTTCTCTGGTCGACATGCATCCTCTTAGTTTTTTCCCCCCCCCCCCCTCTCCATTTGAAATTCTTCTCTTAAAAACTAGTTAAATTAGTTCCAGTAGTTTTTTGATGAAAGACAGATCAATAGACGCTCATATAATTCTTTATTCTTAAACAAAAATTTGAAAATATTACTCATATTTCTTCATACCAATGAACACTTTGTTCTATTTTGACGTCTCTCTCTCTCTTTCTTATTTTATATTTTTTTGTTCTTATTAGATAGCTTAGTCTTCAAGCAGTTTTGTTTCTGTCTACTTGAGTGTGACCATTAAACAAAGCCATTTAAAGTATATTATTTTCGATTTTCTTCTGTTTATACACATCACAAAATTCATTCGGTTTCTATTATGTGTATATATCATTTCAGTGAATATTTATGCAGTGGCTCCTGGTGGCCAGCTTTTGCTTCCACATATGCTATGGACAAGGTTTGATAATTATTACTTATTATATATAGATATGCAAGATATTATTCCATGTTTTTCAGTGCTAAATTATCATCCAGCGGCAATTGAAGCCAACTTTGATGACATAGTTTATGGAATTAAAAAGAACGTTGATCTTCTAAACAACGGAGATGTTGAATCAAACTCAGTTGTTGGCCCAAATGGAAAAGTTCTAATCATTCCCGCTATGGAAGAAGTGAAAAAGTAATTCTTGATCAAGTATCATCATTAAGAATTAAACCATTTAGCACTAAGAGTGAGATCCGAGAAGAGACAGAAGAAATTTTGAAAGTTCTCTATCCTTCCAAGAATGGTAGCATTGATTGGTTCACATGGAGCTGTGCTGTTTTTGGTTGTATGCTAGTTGTAAGCTGTGGCATTCTACCTGTAGTTCTGTTGCCAGCTAATTCGTCTGAAGTATTATTATCCAAAAGTAAACAGATATTTACAACATCTATCCGCAACTAATCATTTAAGATAGCAAGAAGCGTATGGATCTATTACTTGCATTTGCTGTTGGTAGTATACTAGCAGATGCTTTCTTACACTTATTACCTGAAATTTGGGCAACTCATGGTTAAAGCTTTATCAAACAACACAACATAACATGTTTTTTCAGAGTGCGCTACTACGATTGGTCTTTGGGTGCTGATTGGCTTCTTAGTATGTTTTAGTGCAGAAAAGATTTGTGAATCAACAGAAAACAATTGTAATCAGGTATTTATTGTGCTTATCTCATCTATTACACATTTCCTTTAAGCTCTGTGCGATAATCAATTTGTCTTGCAATGTTGTGGACAATTTTACACATGGATTAGCAGTAGCAGGAAGCTTTTTAGTTTCCATGCATGTAAGATTTCAATCATCAATATTCTTAATTATTACTTTTAGTTTGGTTTGATGACAACGTTTTCCGTTCTGCTTCACGAAATCCCACATGAAATGGTAGACTTCGCTTTATTACTTAGAGCAAACTATAGCCGAAAAGAAGCTTTAAAAGCTCAGGTATTATATATATTTATATTATTGAATATTAACTATTTGTTTAGCTTGTTACGGCAACTGGAGGCGTATTAGGAGCTTTCGTTGCTCTTCAAGCGGGACAAGATGTAAGCACTCGTTTTGAATGGATATTACCATTCACTGCTGGTGGTTTCATTAACATTGCTATGACGCAACTTATTCCTGAACTTAACGAAGAAACAGACAAAAAGTACGAAAAATGACATCATTTGATTGGAAAGTAACTTGTTTTCAGGAGAAGTATAATGCAGCTCATAATGACGTTGTTGGGTGTGGGAATGGTAGCTCTAATTGATGTTGGATTCTCTGCTTGAACAAGCATGATAATCCTAACGCCAGAAAAAAAAAGCTTGGGAACCTCTATAAATTTCAATTTTAAGTCTCTACACAGTGATAACTTGCCACAGTATCAATATGAATCACATATATCCCTCAACGAGTTTATAATATAAAAGGCTAGTTTTGTATCTTTTTTGGTATGCGGTTGTTTGTATGATATATCATTAAATGAATACTTTTTTTTTTTTTTACATTGAAAAACTTGTTCGCAAACTTCTATTTCATTGAATTTCGTTCAGTTCGTACGTGATGTTTAACTGATTGAGAGTTTTGTCAGAAATATCAATGTAACAAAACAAGCGAAAGAAGTTTATGTGTTGTGTACTACAATCAAGAAATGACTAAAGCAGTCCGATTTGATCAGTTCCAAGATTTAAGATTAATGAAGCTTACGAAGAAGCCAGCCATCGTCTGGTCAATAACATCATCTTGAACAAATTATTTTTTATTTATCAAATATTCAGGTTTCGTTTTTATGGAAGTAGAAGGATGGGGAGAAGCGGACAATGAAAGTAACGAGAAGACGAGCTTATTCGTAATAGTCTATGATGTTGATGATATTCAATACAATAACAAACAACAAGAATGATATGTATGATGCTTCTTATATGCAAATCTTTCATTATAATCCGAAACAATTTATATACCATTTCATCATTATTGGAATGAAGATTGATATACTTGTTGATAAACACTTGATATAGTCATTGAGTCGACACAATTCAAAGTATAAGTAATGTAAGCTGTCTTATGAGATTGATTTCTTAATACATGCAGATTCATCATAACTAATTGTTTCCATATATGGCTCCCTATTACTTAAATTTATCTTTTTCTTCTTAAGATTATTGTTTGATATATCCAATTGAATGAAGAAAAGATTTTTTGAGAGGAGGAGAAGGAGGAAAAAGGGGGTGAATTGAATAAACAATTCCTCAATCTGTCAAATGATTGACAGTTTGATTGAATTATCGTGTTTGCATTTGGATATTGACCTAGGTTAGAAGATAGCAAAACCTCTACTGTTTTCATTGTTGCAATAATACTAATCATATCATTATAATATTGCTCTCTGAATTATCTTCAAATATATAATTTCATATATAACTAATGTAAAAGAAAAAAAAAGAATAAAAAAAGTATTTTTAATTGATTTTTAAATGTTATATTACTCTTTATCATTAATGTATATGAGAGTTGCCAAAGATTTTATGTGATGGATATCATTATCTATTGAAATTGATAACAAAAATGTATTTTTACAACTCTACCTTCGAACAGTCCTTATTTTGAACTTTAAATTCATTTTTTCTCGTTTATAATATTCTGTTTATATATATAATTATAAAATATATTTATATTATATTAATAGATAAACAAAAGTTTCGAAAAATGATGACTCCACTGAGTTATTGGAAGAACCAAGCTATAGCTATAGGCAACAGTCCTATACCAACTGAAATGGAATACAGGTAGATATCAGTTGTATATGCCAATTAGTTTAAACTATTTAATTTCTCAGTTCTACTTTATTATCTAGCCGTTATCGTTCAGCTTTACAAGAAATGTACATAACATGGAAGGAGAAACAAAGTGAGAGAGAATGAATCAGAAAGTTCAAACATTATATTTCAGGACCACAAGTCGAATTGTTCAATTCAATGCATTTGACTGCCTGTAATGTGGAGAAAGACCGACTGGTAGGTTATCATTAATTTTTATTCTTTTTTTTTAGAAAGACTAAAATTATATTCAATGTAAATAAGATCAAATCATAGATCAAAAGATTTTGGATATGTGATCCTACTGTGTGTAAACAATAAGGTCACATATAAGTGTTTCTATGAATATATCAATACAGACAAAATGATTTTCTTTGAGCTCTTAAAAGATCTATCAAGCAACGTTATAGATTATTATAATTTTGCAGGAAAACAATTTTGTCTACTCAGCTCCTGTTTTTCCATCTGATTTCGATAAGAATGATGAGGAGCTAGCCGAAATCGAAAAAAATTATAAAAACTGCTTGCAACAGAAACTAGAGAGTATCAAAATGTATGATGACGAACTGGAAAAGGTATGAAGCGCTTATATTGTAAAGAAAAATTCAAAAAAATTGTAAAGAATGCTCAAAATACTATCGATACCATTTATGGAGTCCTGAAGAAGCAAATGAAGTACATACCGATAGATGCGAAAGTGAGCAACAACTATCTATATGAATTAAATTTCAATTTGTTCAGGATTTCAGTTTCGCGAGAGATATGATTGATATTAGAGCACAACGAGTCCGAAATTCTGTTCGTCAAACTATAATTAACGAATTCATTAACTCAAAATCGTCTCTTGCGGATGTTAGGTAAGAGCAATCTATCCATCATTTCATTGATTGGTAATCTTATTAAGGAAGAAGAGGAAAAATTTCAAAGAAGAATCATTACAAATTCTACGAAATTATTATGCTAAGAATCTGACACATCCATATCCAAGCGATGAAGATAAGAGTATGTTAGCGGAGCAATGTGACATGACTACGCAACAGGTATTACCAAGATATGAATAATAAATGCTAATTTCATTGACATTAACAGGTTTCTAATTGGTTTGGTAATCGACGAATAAGAGATAGGAAAGAGAAACTCACAAATGGAGGTATTATTATTTTTCATTCAAAACTGATATATACGGTATACGGTATTCAGATGGTCGCAGTGATGGGGAACCTATATACTCAATGATGGAGTCCAAGTATCATTGATTACTTCAGATTTGCTAATATTTGATTCTATTTAATCATTTGTAATAAATTCATTTTTCTGAATCTTTTATTGAATTCTCACCACCCTCTAAATCCTTATATAAGAGCTGTGTATATAACATCTTTGAACATGAATACATATTGACCTCTGATATTTATTTCAAAATAAAAATACAAATTAAGAAAAGAAAGAAGAAAAATCTCTATGATATAGCTATTTGATGTTCTAAAACGAACAATACATGATGTATATCATTAACAGATATAGTTAAAGAAAGGTGTCTTCACTGACACGGCATAAGTTGTATATGTATATGTATATGTATATGAATGAAGTATGATATGAATATATCGATAAGGAGTAATGATCATACACATTCTGTTGAAATTAAGGCTATGGAGAACTATGTTAATAGTTAGAACTCGTTGCTGCGATTGCTTTTCAATAGCTTATTATATATTAAAGTATGTGCGAGGATATTGAAAATATAAACCGGGATGGTTAAAGATGATAATCATATGAAGTCAATGCTATTAAGTAGAATTGAAACATATAATTGATTGCACAGATATAATGAGAAACAAATGTCATTTCGATACGAGGATATTGGCTATGTACAAGAAATACCTCAATTCGGCATTTCAAAGATGATATGGAGGCAGAAATTTATAAACTAAGCGTTGTTTCTTTTCTGGCTTTTGAATAATACCTTAACAAGCATATGTTACTATGATATTTTTCCATTTATCTAACCTTTTTTATAGTATTGTCTTAGACTCCTTGAAAGCTTATCATAGTTCATTTGACTACGGTTTTTTCTTTGACCCCAAAAGCGAGCCAGATGATGAGATGATTCTATTTTGAACGTTCCTGTAACATATTCAATGACTCATTTTCTATATCTTATCTAACCTTGCTCTCTGTCCACCCAACGAACACATGATCCATACTGTTTCGGATGATCCAGAAGTTCACGAATGAAATGCCATAAGTGAATAGTGCCTCCATGTCTTGAGAAGCTGTTAGCTTTCTCACTAAATTTCAAACTTAGAATCGAACATGAAAGCTTGTTTACCTGTTCATGTTCGCATCAACTCGCACATCACCGAAGCCATTTGGTAAAGGTTGTTGAAGATTGAACAGTCTTATATCGACACTGTCTTCTTCACCATCTAATTTTAAGATATCCAATAAGTAATTGATCAGTTAACGTACTTCCTGTCACACTTGGTGAGCTACTGATTTCACTGCTTGTTGGAGATGGCATTTCAGTACTGTAAAATCTTTGTCTCTCGTTTACAGGAGACGAGTTCGAATCAATGAATGAGGAATTTTGTGAGTAACCATATGATCCTTCCGTTCCAGGGAAGTTGATCTTAATCGATTCATTCATATCTAGACGATGCTAGTATAAATCTCACCCATGGTGTTTGAACAACATCTACATTCGGACAAGTACTTTCTTCAGTTGCTAGCTGGATGCGACGGTAAGAATCGAAAGCTGCAATAATTCGTCATAACAGGTTGTAAAGAGAAAACTAATGATTACCAGTTTTCCATAACTGTAGCTGTGCGTAAAGAGTGTCTCCGCTTTCAGCAGCGAATGTGAGAAAGTTTTCCGGAGTCATTTTCAAAAACGCTGCTCCTGATAGGAACAACCTTTTCTCAGGAATGGGAAGATTGAACTGTTGGCACATCTCTCGTACCCATTTTGAAACCTGTTCCGCACTCCACATAGATGGATCTAAAAGAATAAATTTTCATCTTCCCAAACTAAGATTATAAAATTGTTTCATATGAATGATTATTTCAAGGAAAAATTAACTCACTTATGGGCAACTGTAGTTTTTCGCATGTGCTGATAATATCTTTTATCAAATGACGCAGTATAAGATCGCTGCAAGGAGAAAAAGTTTTTTTCTAGGTATTAATGAAAGAGACTGATACCGATATTTGTCCATTTGTTGAGTCTCTGGAACAGTAGGAATATTCAATTCATTGGTTGGCGTGAACTTTGGGGTTGATGAAGTGAGTTCATCAGCAGCAAAATTAAAATTGCTTGAAAACTGATCAGCAAACGAATCTATATTAAATAAGTAAATATATCTAATATATTTTCAATAATTACCTTCGATTATCTCTGTTTTCAGATAATTTGAATGATTTGAAACGCAATCAAGTGTCATATTTCGATTTATATCTTTATGCATGGGTGGTATATGATTATTTTCTTGAGCCATCTGATTACTCTTTCTTGGATCACAATAGCTTAGCTCCTCAAACGCATTCTGAAATATGTTTGAAATGTATGAATGTAAATGTTCTAAACATTTCAGTTATTCTTTCTTCTTCTTTTTTTCTTTTTTTAATTAAAAGTGAACACTTTCATTTTGCGAAATAAATGATAAAATCAGTGAACTGTCAATCTTTAATTCTCATGGATTATGAACGAGAGAAATGGAGAGTCAGAGAACTTTCATCACATTTAATGGTTTCGAAGATAAGCCATTTACGTCATAGCTTTATGAGCAAATTGATAAGAATCGTATATGTTTGCTGAGATTAGATTATGAATTTCTAACAAAAAAAAAAACATTTGTGATTTCTTGAACTTCGACTCGAAGAAATAACAAGATATTGATAGAGAATGAGAAGAGAACAATCTCAAAATGACTATTAGTGACATTGATAGCCATAGCGAATGGATGAGATCATCTCAATATAATATATGAAAGTGAAAAGTATAAACTTAATTTCATTTTTCTGAAAGGCGACCGACTTGGATAGCTTAGTTGATCACTCTTGAGAACAACAATGAAAAGGAATAGAATCGTGAATGTATACAAGAAATTAATTCTCAATTTTGCTAATTGGCGAAAGTAAAAGATAAACAGCAATCGGCAAGTTTTATCTTGCAGTTTGATTTTCTGCCCTAAATGAAGCCTGTTGTCAGTTTCGTTTTCGATATTCCCGTAAGACATTGAAGGCAAAAGTGAGATACGAGAAATATATGAAACCACTATTTTGTAATGAAACAGGATAATGAACAAGGTTACCTTGTGTGAATTAGAGCGGAGCGCAAAATGCATATTCGAGAATCGAAAGCGTTGATGAAAAAAAAAAAAAGAAAAAAAAAGAGACTGACACACCGATAATAACAAGAAATGGATAATATACTTTCGTTCGCAGATCACATAACAAATTTGAAATGAGATTGAAAACAATATGAATGAAAGAGAAAACTTTTCCATGAAATTAAATCGAAAAATGGGTCTCGTGAAAAGATTTTCATTCAAAAGGAACAATACGGTTTGCGTCGACCCCGAATTATAGCAACGCCTTCCCTCATTCACTTTTATTTTCGTTTTTGGTTAACCACTTTCTTTTGCGGTCATCATACAGGTCAAGTTAGTTAGAAAGCGAAACCAGAACTGTTTAAGAGATCATTGAAATCGATTCGTTTTCTCTTTTTTACTTGTTGAAAGATTTTCATTTCAAATCTGCTCATTACAGTTGAAGAGTGGAAGATATTGGATTTTTAAAGGAAGGCTAGACAGCTACTCTACCTGAACTTCGTCAAAGAACTTAGTGCCCGCTAAACTTTCTTCTTTGCAGACATCCATATATGCTGACTTGTTATAGCTTGTAGTCCAAACAGCATTGCGTGGGCGAGCAAATCTACTGTTCATGTTTGAATAATCTGAAATATTGTAAACTATACATAAGTTACTTAAGAAATAATAACAAAAAGCTTTAGAATAGCTTTCATAATAGGTCAACGAGTTTCAATGAAATGACTTCCCAGCTCAGAGCTGAAAGCTGTTTGTTCCAGTCAAAAGTGAAACATTAAAACTATCAGTTTGGGTTTTATTGAAGATCCTGCTGATTTACTGATAATAGTGAGAAGCTTGCAATAAAAAGTTTACAAGAAAAGGGAGTGTCATCGTACATATTGCTTTTATGGAGGCAAAGAGCACAGCAATTAATGTTTTACAGCTCATTTTTTCGGAAGAGGAGAAGCGATCTGAGAGTCATCAACTGATGTAATAGAGAACCCACAAACTGATTATTCAAGAACTGCTCTTATCACTTATTTTCACATCAGTTTCTTGGCCCAACGTGTGCTACGAACGCCACACTGAAGCGTAATGTATGACGTCTCAAAAAAAAAAGTCATGTGAATAGATATTTGCTGTTATCAAATTTGAAAAAAGATAGCCAGAATATGAATTTTCTTTTAAAGGGTTTATATGTATATGGAATAGACAAAAAAAAATTAAATATAATATATAATAATAATATTTTTCGTAATATTTTTGCGTGTTCTGTAAAGAAAGTAAATTTGAAAAATGAAAGGAGGGGAAAACGAGTGAAAGGATCCAGCCAAGATGCTTGAGGGCGAAATCGGGGTCATTGGAGGGATAAGGACCGGTCTGACCCGGACATCAAACGAACATGTTCTCAACATTACTGTCTTCAGATAAAAGAAATACATAATATGTGACTATTGAGAAACTGATGTGAAGATATGTAAAAGAAAATAGTTGATTAGACAAAACATGACGTCACTTGCTTATAAAGTAATGATTTACGTCTAATAGGTACATCATATGTATGTTTTCAAAAAGAAAAAAAAAACATTCCAAGTACAAACACTATCTATTTTGTGAATTGAATACAAAAGTTACAAAAAATATTATTTTTATTTAAGTACTTTACTCTCTAACTTATTCTGCTTCTCACACTTTCTCCAAGAATTTATTTTGTTTGTTATACGGATGTAGTTCAATCAGAATATCTAAACTGTTTTGAACTTTATCATTTTGTTCTTTCATTTTCATTTTCGTTAGCTATGAAAGAGAAATCGTGCATGCTTGGGTTGATGAAAAGAAACGCTACGAGTGGATGAAAAGTGGATTCAGAATTAGGTTGTTAAAACCGGGTTCCATAGCATACTTGCTTCGATATTATACTTCATCACTTTTTTTTTATATTCACCCAGCCAATTATGATGTCAATTTTATTGAAGAAGAAATTATTTTTTTTTATTAAAGTTTATATTTCTTGTTGTATTCATTTATATGACAGAGAAACATTCTTTATAATCATTATTTGACAGAATAATCATTTTATTAGCATTTTCAATTCATTTGGAAGAAAATTATGGAGCTCAGATGAAGCTAATGAGAGCAATCACGTGTTTCTCCTGGCATAATTAGTTCCAAATTCCATGTGCCAATATCTAGTACAGCTCTATCTTCCCCATCTGTTCAGATAATAATAATAGCTCATGAGATGATATAATTGAAAATTACCTTTACTGACATAGTTCAAAGGCAGCTCAAACTTCCAACGACGTTGACAGGGCTTAAATTTATGAATAAATAATATTCATTTTGGATAATAAAGAATATAAATACCTTGATTCCATCATTGCAATCATGATATATTTTCAGTTGAGGATCAATTTTGGTTCTTTCTTTTGTTTTTCCTTTCAATTCGAATGAGCCATTTTGGTCAGTTAAACATTCATCTAACACATCATCAGTATCTTGACCTTAAATATTTTTCATCTAAAGAAATGCATTAATGATATAAAGAATACCAAAGTCATCTTCTATCAGCTTAACTTGAACATTACGAGCTTGAGTTGTACCACATAAAAAAGCACCTTTCACCTTCAAATTGTATTTTTCTGATTATCAATAACTTAATGAAAACATACTTTATATCCTTGTTCAGTGTTTGCTGATACAAGAAGCAATGTCATTGGGAAAATGACAAAGAGTAAACAAGTAATCAGTGTATTCATCTGCAATCTATGATCATCTCTACTAAACATGCAAAAAAGTATTCAAAAAGTTTTCAACTCTTGCATATGAACAAATCAAATGTTATGAAACAGTTTTATAAGGATAATATAAATTTAAATAGTTTCATCATTCTTAGCACATTCACGGTATTCTGATTCGAGTTCGACCTGAAATTATGAATCAAATATTAGATAATTATTTAAGCTTTATCTCGCCTCCAAGTTCAGATTTCCAATATTCAGTAAATTTGCAATCTGTTCTCCATCAACAATATACTTGTAGGGAATACGCATAACCCATTCACGCATACATTTCTATAAATTCTTGTTCAATTTTCATACTTTCTGAGAAAAAAACCTTATGATGATCTCTGCAATCATGGTAAATCCGGATTTCAGGATCAATCATGCTTAACTCAAGAGCAGATCCCTTGATAAGAAAATGTCCAGTGGAATTTGTTGTTGTTTGTTCCATATAATCATCGGGGTCAGGTCCTATGATTACTTATGATATATATTATCTGCTTCGAAAATTCAACCTCTTTCTCCTTGGTCCTTATCAATTAAGCGAACAACAACATCTTTAGCTGGAGTCTGGCCGCAATAAAGGCGCCCATACGCTCCTACAGACTGAGTTCGAAACGAGTACGTCAAACACAGCATAGCAGCAAACACTAGCAGTTGAACTAATTTAGCCATCTGAACGTAATATACAATGAAATAAATATTAATAATGTTCTGAACAAGACTCAGAAACAATCTGAAAAATGATTTCGAGGCAATCATACAATCAATTGCTTCGAAATGTTCCGTCCATCAAAACAATCCTACTTATAACGATGGATAAGTAGTCAGTTGTCGTTTTAAATGACATGTGTTCTGAGCTACATCTTCTGTTTTACATACACTCTAATCACTTTCGAGTGCTAGAAGAGAGAATAGGTTTGCTCTCTTTCATCATTTATTCAACTCATTGAAACAGACGAATGGGAAAAAGCTCTCTCTCATTTTACTAATCTAACAAGTGTCAGTGTTTATCGTAATGAACAGAAGTTGAGAATCAATTACAGTTGTTGCTGAGATGAAATTCTAGAAAAAAAAAGTTTACTTGAAGTTTCTAAATGATGAGAAATCTTTCCCTTCTGAACTAAAAATGTATGTTTCATTTCAATGAATTCACACAGTTTTGCTCACTCGCTGATTGCCAATACTAGTTTGGTGAACACTTTGCCGTAGCTCTAATCGTACAGTAGTATCGTACAGTTATCTGCAACAGTAGAAAATACTTTGTTGCATTAAGAACGTTTTACTACCAGTTCAATGTTCAATGTGCAAAAATTGCTGTAGTTAAGCGTAAATTCTAATTAGCCCGATGTTAATCAAGGTATTTCTACCATGGTGTTCCGCTTGGTTTTGCATGAAAACGTACGCGGCATTGTCTAATGATCATTCATCAATGATGAGGTATCATAGTAGTTGAAACAACAAACAACAAACAACATCAAAAAGAATGTGAGGAAGGAAGAGGTCATCAACACATTATTGCACACACGCTCTTTGTCTTACACACACACTCAGGGTGTAAGAACTCAGTCTGTAGGAGCGTATGAGCGCCTTTATTGCGGCCAGACTCCAGCGAAAGATGTTGTTGTTCGCTTAATTGATAAGGACCCAGGAGAAAGAGGTTGAATTTTCGAAGCAGATAATATATATCATAAGTAATCATAGGACCTGACCCCGATGATTATATCGAACAAACAACAACAAATTCCACTGAACACACTCAGTGTGTAAGAGAGAGAACAAATCTCATTCTTAAAGTATCTGAGAGTAACCTACCAACAAAACAAAACACAATACAAAACCTTACCTGGCATCAACTTTTCGATATCTCTTCGGATATTCATATCTCTGCGACGTCAATGGTGATGGTGTAATCCATCTTTTCAAAGCTGGTTACACCCATGAGCATATCGAAAGATTTTTTCATAAATTCCTTTATGGACTGAGCTTTAAGTTTGGTCTTAGGTTCAATGGCTAGGACAGCCATGAAGCTACTGCAGATTGGACAACATAAAAATCCTGCTAGAGCAGTCTCAACCATCCTTCCGCAATCTTGGTAATTGAATACAGGACCGAAAATTACTGTGTGTTTGCGAGTAGCGCTACATCAAAGTTAAAATAATAATAAAAAGGATAATATACTGTATTTGAGCAGCCTCCTGAATCCCTCTGAAAAATATCCTCATGAAAAAGAGTAGCAACCACAAACGAAGAGATTTGGATGAGAAAAAGTAAACGAAACGAACTGTATGCCCAAAAACTAGCAAAATTAGAAATAGCTATAGTGCTTCTGACAAAAATTACTACACCACTTCCCTTGATGATGATTTTGCTTGATCAGATCTAAGAATGGTGTAAAAGTCAAAAAGAGGCAGTAGGTGCAGAAGTTATGAATGAGGAAGCAAAAATAAAGAAAAGTTAGAAATATTTGAAACGAAAGAAAAACAATAATTTCTGACAATCGATACCTATGTGTTCCACGGCCTGGAATGATGACAAATACCAGCTAGCAATCAATAAGAGAGAGCAGAAATATAGGCGACCTGTCGAGGTGACTACAAAAGCGCAACGGCTATTACAAAAGCGCAACAAAAAACTCATATTAGGCGACATATCCAGCTAGGGTCGGGCCTATGTCTTTCCACTGTATTCGTGCATGCTAATGTTTATGGGTTAACGAAATTAGTCGGATGGTTCACTGTAAGATGCAAAATCTATGATTCAAACTTTCGGTTCTGTTCTGTTAGACTACCGTCCTAGGCTCCGCCCATTTTTTCGCGCACTCTATAACAATATCTTGAACAATATCTTAGAAAACAGTTAAGGGGGTGCTGTTTTATAATATTTTCATGATCTGTATTCAGATTAAAGTGATAACTCCAGCTGAATTTTTCGAAATAATAAAAACTGAATTGTCATCCTTTCAATTTTTGCAACAAAAAGGTTTGATGCCAATTTCCAAAGTTAGGTTTCCCTCCTCTTAATGTTTTGATCTTCGTGTGTTAAAGCAATGCCCTGCCTGTTCAAAACAAATTTCCTTGGTTCAGAGCAGAATTATATTCCGATGCTATTCGAAAACCTGTAAAAGAGAAGTAGGATGTAGTATGCGTTCTGTATGGAGGGCGACTACTCCTTCCTTTTAATAGCAAAATTTCTGTCAAGAAATCTTTGTATTTTGTAAAAGATAGATGTTCTTTCACTTTAGAAAGAGTCATATGAGAGAATGTGAGAGATGGATCCGTTATAATAACTGATATGTGGAAAGGGTACTCCAGATTAGAGAGTTTGGCGCTGTTCTAAAATACACCCCACACTTAAGGCTCCGCCCACAAGACTGTGCTTGTAGGGGTTACTTTGCGTTCAATATTTACAACAACATTTATAATGATACACAGTAACGAATCAAGAGCTAGGAAATACAGCAATGTCGTTTAGAATAGTAAGAAAGATATCATAGTTTTTATTTGGTCTTCTGAATACATATTCCCCTACTCTACTTCCTAGTGTTCCCCTTGGACAACCATTAGTGTTCTTACTAACAATCTTCTTTAAATCGCTCTAGAGTCCCTCAATCATATTAGTACACGCATTGTTTTCCCTGTTGACAAAATTAAGTTTATGATTAACTGTTAAATGAGTGAACATAAAGGGGAGAGTTGTGAACCTAGAGTAACCCTTCCAACAGTCAGTGATTATTGTAGATTCAGCTACTACATTACACATAATTTTATACTCTAGCTGCTTAGCTGTTCTACCGTTATTAAGAGGGAAAACAAAACAATCCCCAGTTTCTCTACATACACCCCTATTACTCATAAGTTGCTGCGTAACCACCCTCTATTATACGTTCTGCGACTTATAGCGGACTCATCTATCTCTACAGTCATATTAGGGCCCCCTATCTTTCTACAATTTTTATCCAGTCTTAATTTAAGCAGACCATTCCGTGAAAAAACTTCGGCTCAACTTAAAACCATTCATCATTACTTCTAATTTATACTCTTTGCGTGTCCAGAAAAACATTATGGCCAAGATTGTTGAAAATTTGAATTAAGTGTTTTCAAAAAAAGTTCCAACACGTACTTCTATTTCTTTTCTACAATTTTGGCTATTGCACCTCCATTTGAACTTTGACATATTGAGTTCCATTGGTTTTGAACAAGAAGAACAAGTCTAGAGTTAAATTTTGATATTATTTTTAATTTATTATGTTACTTTTGATTCACAAAACGTTTTTTTCCCTTGAAGAAATCGAAAAGCCTTCTCTTCACTTTTGAGAATATCGAAGAAAAATGCATGAGTGATCATCTGGAAGAGGAAATTTCGCTTTAAATTTTCTTCTGATTAGAAGTCAGACGCCTTATCCATTAGGCCACGCGGGCTCGAATTTGTTGCGAAATCAGACAATAACATTCGCAAGCTTCAGATCACTGTGAGCTGATTAGTTATAACTCCAAAACTTACTAAAGAGGATAGGAAAATAATCTTCTAGATATCGATTAGTGAGAGGTAAGCTGTCTCGAGAGTCAGCGAGAAGAAAATAATTCAAAAAGGTGAAGATCACGGCCGGGATCTAACCGATATTCTTTCGATTTGAAGTCAGAAGCCATATCCCTTAGGCCACGCGGACTCGAATACAAACCGAATAAAGAAAATAACATCGATAAGATTCAGATCACTATGAGCTAATTAGTTATAACTCTAAAACTTACTGAAGAGGATAAGAAAATAATCTTCTAGAGATCGATAAACGAGTGGTAAGCTGTGCCGAAAATCAGCCAGAAGAAAAGAATTCAAAAAGGTGAAGCCCACGGCCGGGATCGAATCGACAATCTTCTGATTCGAAGTCAGACGCCATATCCATCAGGCCACGCGGGCTCGATTTTGTTGCGAATGAGAGAATAACATTCGCAAGCTTCAGAGCACAGTGAACATTCATGTCATTTTTCTCCATAACATACCAAACAGGATAGGAGAATAATCTATTAGAGATCGATAGACGGGTGGTAAGCTGTCTCGAAAGTCAGCGAGAAGAAAAGAATTCAAAAAGGTGAAGCCCACGGCCGGGATCGAATCGACAATCTTCTGATTCGAAGTCAGACGCCATATCCATCAGGCCACGCGGGCTCGATTTTGTTGCGAATGAGAGAATAACATTCGCAAGCTTCAGAGCACAGTGAACATTCATGTCATTTTTCTCCATAACATACCAAACAGGATAGGAGAATAATCTATTAGAGATCGATAGACGGGTGGTAAGCTGTCTCGAAAGTCAGCGAGAAGAAAAGAATTCAAAAAGGTGAAGCCCACGGCCGGGATCGAATCGACAATCTTCTGATTCGAAGTCAGACGCCATATCCATCAGGCCACGCGGGCTCGATTTTGTTGCGAATGAGAGAATAACATTCGCAAGCTTCAGAGCACAGTGAACATTCATGTCATTTTTCTCCATAACATACCAAACAGGATAGGAGAATAATCTATTAGAGATCGATAGACGGGTGGTAAGCTGTCTCGAAAGTCAGCGAGAAGAAAAGAATTCAAAAAGGTGAAGCCCACGGCCGGGATCGAATCGACAATCTTCTGATTCGAAGTCAGACGCCATATCCATCAGGCCACGCGGGCTCGATTTTGTTGCGAATGAGAGAATAACATTCGCAAGCTTCAGAGCACAGTGAACATTCATGTCATTTTTCTCCATAACATACCAAACAGGATAGGAGAATAATCTATTAGAGATCGATAGACGGGTGGTAAGCTGTCTCGAAAGTCAGCGAGAAGAAAAGAATTCAAAAAGGTGAAGCCCACGGCCGGGATCGAATCGACAATCTTCTGATTCGAAGTCAGACGCCATATCCATCAGGCCACGCGGGCTCGATTTTGTTGCGAATGAGAGAATAACATTCGCAAGCTTCAGAGCACAGTGAACATTCATGTCATTTTTCTCCATAACATACCAAACAGGATAGGAGAATAATCTATTAGAGATCGATAGACGGGTGGTAAGCTGTCTCGAAAGTCAGCGAGAAGAAAAGAATTCAAAAAGGTGAAGCCCACGGCCGGGATCGAATCGACAATCTTCTGATTCGAAGTCAGACGCCATATCCATCAGGCCACGCGGGCTCGATTTTGTTGCGAATGAGAGAATAACATTCGCAAGCTTCAGAGCACAGTGAACATTCATGTCATTTTTCTCCATAACATACCAAACAGGATAGGAGAATAATCTATTAGAGATCGATAGACGGGTGGTAAGCTGTCTCGAAAGTCAGCGAGAAGAAAAGAATTCAAAAAGGTGAAGCCCACGGCCGGGATCGAATCGACAATCTTCTGATTCGAAGTCAGACGCCATATCCATCAGGCCACGCGGGCTCGATTTTGTTGCGAATGAGAGAATAACATTCGCAAGCTTCAGAGCACAGTGAACATTCATGTCATTTTTCTCCATAACATACCAAACAGGATAGGAGAATAATCTATTAGAGATCGATAGACGGGTGGTAAGCTGTCTCGAAAGTCAGCGAGAAGAAAAGAATTCAAAAAGGTGAAGCCCACGGCCGGGATCGAATCGACAATCTTCTGATTCGAAGTCAGACGCCATATCCATCAGGCCACGCGGGCTCGATTTTGTTGCGAATGAGAGAATAACATTCGCAAGCTTCAGAGCACAGTGAACATTCATGTCATTTTTCTCCATAACATACCAAACAGGATAGGAGAATAATCTATTAGAGATCGATAGACGGGTGGTAAGCTGTCTCGAAAGTCAGCGAGAAGAAAAGAATTCAAAAAGGTGAAGCCCACGGCCGGGATCGAATCGACAATCTTCTGATTCGAAGTCAGACGCCATATCCATCAGGCCACGCGGGCTCGATTTTGTTGCGAATGAGAGAATAACATTCGCAAGCTTCAGAGCACAGTGAACATTCATGTCATTTTTCTCCATAACATACCAAACAGGATAGGAGAATAATCTATTAGAGATCGATAGACGGGTGGTAAGCTGTCTCGAAAGTCAGCGAGAAGAAAAGAATTCAAAAA